AACAGGAAATAAAATTGGAAATGGAAAGCTATCTAGCTTGGGTTCCTGTTTATTGCTGGGAAATTTAGGAACTAGATTATTGAGAAGACTTGTTATAGGAAACTTGTAAGAACCAAGTCTTAAAGGAAAGGAATATTATTATTTTTAATGTACTTGTTTCCTAGTGTCATAATGGTTCTTATGAACATAAAAAGGCAACTATCTGAAATGAATTCTTAATAGACCATATTATAGAGATGATGATGATAATACAACCTAAAGCATTTGTTTAACTTTTAAACAATGCCACTAATTAGGTCATCAATTGAGAAATAAGGCCATAGAAGCAGGCATTATTGTTCCCAAGTGTTCCCCCACTTCAAAGGCATTTCTGAGCAGCACAAATTAAGCCATTTTGGGTGGTAATAAATTCAACTGACTCATACTCCTTTCTGCGGAGAAATGTGGTCTTGCCTGAATCCGCGGCGTTATGTGAACGATTGTTTAATCCTATATATAGACGGGTGGAGAAGTAACAAATAGCGTAGAGCTTGTAGCGAAACATCGAGGCGTTGGCCGCAGATCCAGCTCGAGATGGAGGCCCAATCCAGAGACCGGGCCAACTTCATTGCCAGTGGTAGCAAAGTTGGCCAGGCCAGGCTGTCTGACTGCTCCGGCTGCTATATGGTATATGTGTTAAGAGAAATTCGGTCAAATGGCACAAATATTGTGTGTGTTACAATTGTTGCGCAACAGCAATAGCAACAGCAGCCGCAGCCGGGAACTGCGAAACTGGGAACTTGGTATTGGAATTGGTATAGGAACCGAACCGAGAGTGGAACTCAACTGGGCCTGGCCTCCGATATATACTCGTACTTGCAAATGAATGCATTATCGGGCAGCCAGGCCAGTCAGTTCCAGCCTCAGTCCCCGTCCAGTGTGCATATATAACACAGATTCATTATACTGCAGCCTTTCTAAGCCAAATGCGGGCAGCAGCCAGAAAATATTGCAACACGCTGGCGACCAAAAGCGAGGGTGTCGGGTGGCCATAGCCTCGCCTCCAAACTGAAAACTGCAAACTGCAAACTGCAAGCTCTGTGCTCCATGTTCCAAGCTCCAAACTTCCAAGTCGGGCTGCCTGGGATCCGACTGACATAACTGGTCATTGGCTTGTGGCTAAGGACTCGGCGATGCCACTTAGATGCAGCTGCACAAACTGGAAATTGGCAAATACAGCTAGCACGAACGGCGGACAAGACGGCCAAGTCGGTCGAGACGGCCAAGAAACCGGATTGCCAATAGCTCACCACCGAGCTGAGCTGTTCGCAAAAAAGTCTGAGCTCGCAATTTAAGCAGCCGTCGTTCCGTTCGGTTCGGTTCGTTTCGGGCCAAAAGGAGCTGCTCTGATGCACTGGGGGAAAATTCTCAAATAGGATTTCCTTATTAACATTCCATTGTTTCACCCTACCCTCAGTCAAGGAATGTCACAAAAATTTTTGAAATTCTCTATCCCTCTCCTTACTAAAGTATTTATCAATATAGAACCAATTATATTTCGATGATTTCTGATGATGATTTCAAATTAGTTTTAATATACAAGACTTTTCCACAAGGTACAAATAAAAAGAATTGTCAATTAATAGTCAATTACGAGTTACAAATAGAATAAGCCAACATACTACTACAAAACTGACGGGGTATAGAAGAACTGTTCTTAATGTGGTTAAGCATTAAAAACGTACCAATAATCCATGATTGGGTTCATAGTTCGCCCAGTGTTTACATAACATAAGTTCTGACAACAAGAAAATTAAACATATCACATCCCTCTATTATAAAATAATAAGAATAGATAATACCTAGATGATAATGGAACTATAATTCAAGTTGATAAACATATATTATATACAAGATTGTCTTCATAGTTTTTCCAATATTTTTAAAATACAGGTTCCTAAGAACAAGCAATAAGAAGAAGTAATCAATACTTTGTATTATAAATTAGTAAATAATAAGTGCAGATTATGTTGTTGAACCACGGGTATAAAATATTTTCATATAGCAATCAATCTGATTTCCTTTTTAGTAACATTTTCTCCCAGTGCATCACCTCCGCTTCTGTGTGAGTGCTCTGGGTCTCTTGGCCAGTCTTGTAATTACGTGGAGCACACACGTGAACGCTAAGGGCCAACAAATGGTTTCAATCCCAGTCCCAGGATTTGGTCAATGATTTCGCCGCGGCTACTGTCTGCAGGCTCCGGTCGATTTTCCTGTAATCGAGCATCCAGAACGGACGTTTTTCTTTGTGTCCCGAGATTGCCACTGGATGTCGGTGTCCGAGCCCCTCAATTTGCTCAACTGCTGGGTGCTGGGCACCCAGGCACCATCGCACCCTGGCAGCCTGGCACTCCAATAAGTGCAAAAAAGAAGAATGAAAGACTCTACACTGTCATTTCAACACCGTTTAATGTCCGCTGTCATTTGTGTCAGCGTTACGCTCCGAGTTTTATCATCTTTCACGCTGTTTGTACTTACCAATTTAAGCAATTTGGGCTAAGAAAACGAAAGCCGTCGCGATCTATTTCTCGATTTCCTTCGCTGGCTGCTGTCTTTTCATCTCCACCTAAGTACCTGGTATAGAAAAAAAAAAGCGAGAACAAGCACATTCCCTAGGGTTTATGGAATTTTCATTAGAATAACAAGTTTTAAGTGCCGGACAAGAGCAGCCGAGGCAGCAGCAGCAAGTAGACCAGAAACGACCGCGATACGTTTTGAAAGAGTCTCGGAGAAATGCGTCTAAAGTACCGCTTGTAATTGTCGCACATGATTAAACGTAATAAAATTTTTTCGCGTTTAGACAGACGAGACGTGACCGCTTGAATGACCGCGTTACCAATTCTAGAACTTGGCTCACGATGATGATGATGATGACCAATATGATATGACGGCTCGAGAACGAAACTTCAGCCCAATTATCTTCTATACATGGAGAGGTTCTTTCGGCACATACTCATGTACAGACAATTCAACCCATCCACATAATCCCACTCCACTCTCTCTGAATCGGATGAATCGACATTTCATCTGGGATCTCTTAATTGCGACAAGTTACATAAAGGTCATCACAGCTTTATGGTTATTTGCTGCCGGTTTTTTTTTACGAGTTGATAACGATCTTTCAACTGCAGTATAATTCAGCTCGAACAAAACGAAAGTAATTAAGTTGTCATATTAGTTTTAATTTGCTGAGAGACCCTATACATTTTGAAGATCATGGGTTAAGTTAAGTTTATTTCAGCACATTATCAAGCTGTTGAAGCAGTTTTAATTGGTGTGGAAATATTTATAACTAATTTGGGAAATTATGATTTAGACCTCCATTTCTTAATGATGGGTGAGAAAGTAATGCCCTTTGAAAAATGTTGGAAAGTGAGCTAATTCAAAAAGGTCATTATATGAGTTGGAAAGCCCTCTCATGAATCGATTTATGGTCTCCATTCTTTCTGCGAAACAAAAGTAATTTGGACAGCCATAACCTTTTCAAGTGTTAAGTTCATAATTTATGCCCATTTCAACATATTGCCAAAACGCTTTCGGCCCGCTCATTTCTCTTGCTCAAATACATATAAGGCACGAAAAAAAAACACAAGTACAAGCGGCGGAAAAACATTGACCAACTGGTCTTAATCGTTGTGAAAAGTCGCTGCTCAGAGCGATTGCATAAAGGCCTGAGTATTTTGTTAATTAATAATATTACAACTCGGCCGGCTGTTTGAGCATTTTGTTCACAGAGTGCCAAAAACAGAGTGGGGAGTGCGACAAATAAGCAGTCGTAGATCTCTTAATTGCATTATTTATCAGCCAGCCTCCGCTGCTCACTGCGGTTAAGTCGTACAAATTGGCCTCTTCTGTTGGTCATGGCTATGGCTTAAGGAAAAATGAAAGTGCAGCAGTATTAATTATGAAATCTAATTCGGTTTCGTGGCCGCTGCCCAGTCCGCCCCGAACGGAAAATGAAAGTTGGTCATTCAGCCGTCTCGTGAACCGGACGCCAACTTAAAAACCTTAATACATAGTTCACACTTGCACACCCCAAGCTATTCGATCCGATCCAACTGCAGTCCAGTCCCGACTTTGGGCTTGGATTCGTCTTGGCCCACAAAAGTTATGCATTTGGACGATGATTCGACGTGGTTTTAGGCCGTGGTCAACGCGTTGCACAACCACTCTCGTTTCCACAAGTCAACCTTTTTGAAAATCCATAGATGTAGATCAGATGCCCCGATACCATTTAATCGATCAGTGATGATGCATTACAAGTCTTTCTTTAAATTGGCCCTCTAATTGAATTGCCTTTAAGCCCCGAATTAACACTATCCATTGGATACGCAATGCGTTGTAAATTAAATTTAACAAGGTTACCGTTTTCGGTGGCAAGGAAATTCCAATTTGGGGTTTTCCCGGGGTCTTACATAACATTTCATAATTGATTTGGCGCTCTTAAACAAATTACCTAATACAGTTTTAAAAAACGTTATGGTACATTTTATGCTACATTTTCTGACGTTTTTAAAAAATAATGTTGCAAAGACCCTCAACAAGAAAATCTCTTGTTTATACGAAACATGTTAACATGTTTACTTTATTACCTATACTAATTAACATAGCTCTTAGATGTACAAAATTAGTGTATAATTAATAGTTTGGCAGACAAACTATTATTCATAATAGTAAAGCTATTATTGTTAAACATTTATAGTAGCTTTAATTGATACTTATATTTTGAAACGTACATCTGTTTGGATCAAAAACATTTCTTGATTGGTTTTTTACTACATTGACATAATTTCTAACAAAAGAAAATCTCCTTTGATTCAGCGAAACAATCTCTAAATATAAACTTAAACTTGTTCTCCATACTTGGATATTTTTTGGTACTGATGAATGAGCTGTAAGAGCTCCTTAACTTTTCCCAAATACTAAGCCCCTTCTTTTTTGGCATCCCCCACTGATTACAGAAATGGCTTCCACAAGTAGCAGTCAGCCGGAGAAGAACCGATCACATGTCCCGCTTTGCCGCCTGGGAACGGAGCCGATCAGTGGGACGAGTGCCGCTGAGGAGCCCAGTGGGCAGAGGGAATGCTACTACTACACCCCAGCTACCTCCCCGCACCACCATCTCTACAGCCACCACCACAATCGTCTGAAGCAGCACCACCGGCACCACCATCATCATCATCATCATCATCATCATCATGATCATCGGCATCAGCATCAGCATCATCGGAACCAGCAGATCCAGCACCACTGGCCATCGCGACTGGGTCCGATTGGTCCCTGGCTGGGCGCAATGACCGCCTATCGACTGCTGACAATCAGCCTCCTAATTGGCATTCTGTGTCCACATCACGTCCAGGGAGCGGACCCCAAGTTCGATCCGACCACGCGCATGCGCCTGGTTCTGGTACCGGCGGACGCACAGGTCAACTCGGTAATCTACAGGTTGCGTGCCACCGACGAGGAGTTCGACTATCCGCTGACCTTCGAGTTCGTGGGCGATGCCAGCGCCTCCACCGTCAAGGTGGAATCGCTACCCTGCACCAAGTACAATTCGGTGTGCCAGGCGAATATCGTACTCCAGCGGCGATTAGAGCCGGGCAGGTACTATGACTTCCAGGTATCGGTGAAGGACACCAAGGGCGGAATGACCACGCAGCTCTGCTCAATTACGGCCACCAATTTCACCACGCCGCACGACCTCATCTTCCCCCATAAGCCCGGCATCATAATGATACCCGAGGTGAGAACACTGCCCATGCCCATCCACATGTGCCCACGGTCAGAACGTTTCAATTACCAATTACAAGTAACGCCCGTGCAGACATCCGTCGAGAATGGAGTGCCCATGGGCACTTGGAAAAAGTTCTAATGTCCATCTATAGGAAGTAGAAAAAGTGGAGAGCAAGTGGTTATCGGTGTTGATTTGTTAGGAATACTTAAAGATCTCCAGTTTTAATATGTCATTACTATTCTTCATAGAAAAATCATTGTAAATACAATTACTGTAGGAATTGGAAAAGGTTATAATAGGACTCTAAGGTAAATAGAAAAACTCTTGTTTGTTTTAGACCTTCAGGTTTTATAGCTACAATGTTAGAAAAGAATATTATGATAGATCCCAACTTAACGAACTTTCAATCATAGACATATTCAAAGAAATATTTCTTGAAAACCAACAAATTTATCAAATAACAAGAACCTTTATATTATAACACACCTGAAAGCCATTCCTAGTCGTTTTTTGTCCCAGTGTAACCACTTTAATGAAGCAGTAATCAGATAAGCCATTAGAAGCACGTCTCCCAATGGGAAGATGCTATTCGTTTTTCATAAGCGATCCTCGTACACGATAATCATTGTTATGGTGCAAAATTACAAGCGGATTCGGACAGGGTCAAATGTGTAATTTACTCGACCGAAATATCATCAAAAGTTATAAGCCTCAACCCCGATTTATCTTTAAAGGATGCTAAACGCGGCACGGAATTGGATTATGTAATTGCCCGCAAGAACCCGCTGTTTCAGAAACCAGTCTACCTCGAGTTATGGGTAAGTGGAAAAGGAGATGGGCGATGGAGTTGAAGACCCCTACTAACCCAACGGATCTTATGATTTATGGATCGTACTTTTCGCCAACAGGGTTCTCCGCTGTTTGCCATAAGACAAAAAATCGTATCTTCCGAGACCACAGAGGGAACCGTTTTCCTCCTGGGACCATTGGACTTTGAGAAGCAAGCCATGTACCATCTAACGATACTAGCCAATGTGAGTAATGAATTTGAAGTATTTAAAGAAGATATAATTAGTAATATTATATAATGCCCACAGGATGCCTATGCTGAGCCTGGTCAAGATAGTCGTAATATAGCGGGAATGGAGATAGTGGTTATAGTCCAGGATGTTCAGGACCAACCACCAGTATTTACGTCTGCTCCCCCAGTCACCAAACTTCCACCAGGAATACTGCCTGGCGATAAGGTAAAGCTATACCTCCTCTATATTTTCTAAATATTTCATATACAATATTTTGTACCACCTAGATATTACAAGTTCATGCTGAGGATGGCGACAAGGGCAATCCCCGGGAGGTTCGCTATGGATTGGTCTCCGAGAACAATCCGTTCACCTCGTTCTTCGACATCAACGAAACAAGCGGTAAGTAAAAGATCTATTACCATGCGGAAGTATACTTAATTTCCAAGGCTGAAACATTTATCACGGAGATAACACACTTTAATTCCTCCGGCCAAGGGGTGCACATCGAGCACTAAGAATGCTTATATAATAGTTACTCTCGCCATCGTCCACTGTAATAAAATAAGATAACATCTTCATGGGACACTGATAGTGCATAGATAGTGGAAATTTTCAACTTTCTGCGGGCTCAGATGCATCGCCGATGCAGATTCCCATAGAGATGTGATGTGGTGGGGCCCAAGAGCTTTTGCAAATATAGTCGCAGGAAGCAAGAAAAATGGTCTGCGCATGGGCAGCGGACTTAAAAATATTGACCACAAGTAAAGCAAGCAAAATAAATTGGACGAAAATCAGAGACCACAGGTAACAGCAACAACAGCAAGGCGAGGAATAAGCCGCAGAACAACGTCAGGTAACCGATATTAACATAACTACCAGGTGGTGCAGAGGTGCAGTGGTGCAGTGGTGCAGCGGTGGTTCGGGAGGGAGTCGCCGAGTCAGGCAACCCGCTTTGTCGTCAGACTCGTTAGATAGAAACCCATCTTCACCCCGCCTCTGGGCCTGGAGGCCCCCCGAATCGGGAATCGCGATTCCAGCCAACTTCCTCCGACGTCAGCGGCAATACCCGTTCGTTGCGGCCAAGTTCTGTGCCGCAATTTGGCCCAAACCACCACAAGAGACTTCCTTGTTTCGTGCTAGTCTCGTCTCGTTGGCAGTAGCACTTTGATGACTTTGGCTATAAGGCCAAGCAGCTATCCCCCTCTCCCTCTCGAATTTAATGGCCAGGCTGGCTGTCTTCGAGGTACCCCCAACTCCTCCTCCCCCTACTCAACCCACAATTTCTTTTTAGCCATGTGCAGTGGGAAGCGCTTTGGCGAACGGCCTTTCAGAGGCCTGCCTGCCTGCCTGCCTGCCATGAAGATTCACAGTTTACTGGCTCTTCCAAATGAATTTCAAATTGGTATCCCTTTGGGGCAAAACAATTAACAGCCTTCTGCTCGATATTCCCACTGGCCGGGTTTATTAAGTAGAGTGTTGTAACTATTTTTAGTCTGGCAGACAAGAAATAATTATTTAACGGCAATAACGCATAACTATATATTATTTAGTTGCTCTCCACGCTTATTAGTTATTCAAACTGTGGGTGTCTAGGTTAAACAGACAATTCCAGACCTTGAGAATCTGGGATAATCCGCCGAAAGTCTATGGGCTGGGAAACTTTTCTCTCAGGCTGCACAGAATCTTTGCATATTAACGAACGAAACGACCACCGGGAAAAGTACAAGGGGACTTCAAGAAAAAAGCGTTCAATAAAAAATTGGAAAAAACATAATCAACGTGAACTGAACTTGGCGTGGGAACTACTGACTTTCTGCACCATTTATCAGATTTACTGATGACGGCTGGGTGCAAGGAAAAAAGCGCTTCTAGTTCCACAGGCAGAATCTAAGCATTTACAGCTGCCTGGAGCTTTGAGTTTTTCCAGTACGCAAATCACCCCGGAATAAATGTAAAAGTAAAAAAAATGGGTTTGAAAAAGTGAGTTCCCATAGTTGACCTTCATAATTACCTTTAGACGTGAGTAATGGGTCTTTTCTGATAAAGTTTTAGCTACCGTTTAGGAATAACCACTATATAAAACAGATAACAGATTTAGTTATATTATAAAAGAATGTACTATATAATTTGCTAGTCCATAAGAATAATATATTACTCTATAATATATTTTTACCCAGTTCTTATTTATATAGGTAATAATAATATGTCCCCTTAACTTAGGCAGCTTTTGTGTGATACGTAGGATTACTTTACTTAGGATGCTCTAAAATGAAGATAGACTGTTCTCTGATTATAATGGTTTTATATAAAATCGTTGTATAGTAATTGAAATGTGTTAGAAATTGCATTCTTATTAACCTCTACAACCCGTAAACGGCGTCTTGAATTAATCAACGTTCGCTTTATTTGGATTGCAGGTGAGATCTTCCTGATGCGACCCCTCGAGGACATTGCCTTCATCACGCATGTGGGTGATCCGGTGCTGCTCACCGTAATTGCGGAAGAGGTTAAGGTGGGTCGTGACGAGCCGCCCGCACTGGCCTCCACGGTCCAATTGGCGTTCTTTCTGCCCGATCGCACCAATTCGCCGCCGTACTTCGAGAACGATCAGTAAGTACCAGCAGGTTCCCATCGCAACAGCCGGGGGGTATTAAAAAAAACAGACTTTGGGGAAGTGGGGACTGAAGGGCAAACCTGCTTAACCACTATAGATCCCTGTTCCCGGGTCCCTGTTCCCTCCAAGTGCAATTTGGAGAAGTAGGAGTGATGTTGCTTATCCAAAAAACAAAACCCAAAACAAAAAAGACACCACAGAGCTGCGACCAACACAAACAACAAATTTTAGCCGCGTCCATTAGCATAAAGTCCTAAAATTCTTGGCATAGGCAACCACGATGACGGCGACAAGGCGACGACTTAGAAGACGACCAAGTCGAAGACGAGGACTATAAACTCTTCTGCTGAAATCAGCGACTGCAGCATCCATTTATGCGCACTAACTTTGAACTCGAGTCCGTCCCAGCCGAATTCCCGACAAACTGGAAACTGCCAAGTGCAAGTCCAGCTGCAGTCGCAAAAAAAGCGATCTTGAATGAAGAATAGTCTTCAAACTGAAGTGGGGCCATAGATCATAAAATGGTTTACGAACTTTTCGACCTAAAGATTAGATTTTTAATGAACCTTTTTGATTTTTATTATCAGGAAAAGCGAATATATTATAAGACGGATTTGTTTTATATTTGATAAGTTTGGACAAGAAGAAAGTTATAGCGAGATGCCTTACCAAAAAATATTGTCTACATTATTTTTAAAAATTCAAATATCTATCCTTATAAAAACCTCTAAGATTATATATTTATGCATATTGTCTAGCAAGTTTGCCATTAAGTTCCCAAAAAACCCTAAAGCCGCTAGAAACCCCTTAGATTATATATTTAGAAAGGAATATCTTTGATCAGTCATATTCTTAGCTTCCTGCCTATCAAGTTTGCCTTTAATTTCCCCAAAAATTAGACAGATTGACCAATTTTTTTGACGACTGTAGAGGTAGCTTGTCGCACGCCTTTACAACAGTGTACAGGCGTTCACGAAGTTCTTTCCCCATGCTAATCTCTGGCTCACGACTTTCCTCCGCTCCTCCCCCTCCCGCAGCTACGTCTCGAGGGTGGACGAGAACGCCCCCCAAGGCACCGCACTGACGTTCGTTGATCCCTACGTGCCGCGGGTCTACGACGATGATACGGGCAAGAACGGCGTCTTCTCGCTGACGCTGCTCAACAACAACGGCACGTTCGAGATTAGCCCAAATGTGGCGGAACGGAGTGCGGGATTCCTGATCCGGGTGCGGGACAACTCCATGCTGGACTACGAGCAGCGGCACTCGGTGCAGTTCCAGGTTCTGGCCCAGGAACTGGGACCAGCCACCAATCTCTCTGCGCTGGTCAACGTTACGGTGTATATCAATGATGTGAACGATAATGCTCCGATTTTCGAGCAGCCCGCCTATACGGTGGAACTGCCGGAGAACATGACGGCGGGCACTAAGGTGGTCCAAGTTTTGGCCACCGATCCGGATTCCGGTTTGGGTGGCAAGGTGCGATACACGGCCATTCTGGGCTATCTGAACACCTCACTGAATCTGGATGCGGAGACGGGGCTGATCACGGTGTCCACCAACAAACACGGCTTCGATCGAGAAGTCATGCCCGAATACCATCTGTACGCGGAGGCCAGGGACATGGATGGCGAGGGGAATCGGGCCCAGGTGCCATTAATACTCAAGCTAATCGATGTCAACGACGAAACGCCCATTTTCGATAAGGATCTTTACGAGTTTATACTCACACACGACTTGATGGGTTTCACCACCAGCGCAGTGATCCATGCGGAGGATAAGGACGCCACTGCTCCGAATAACGAGGTGCGCTACGAGATCATCAATGGCAACTACGACAATCAGTTTGTCTTGGACAAGGTGACCGGTGAGCTGACGGTCAGGGAGAAGATCAACCTGCGAGCCAAGAAGAATGCCAAGACGAGAAGGCGTCGACAGACGGGTTCAGATGATGAGGATACGGACATATTCATCCTGACAGCCAGAGCCTACGATCTGGGTGTTCCAGTGCGCTTCTCCACCACCACTATCCGTATCTATCCTCCAGAGAGCCGCAAACGCACTGTAAAGTTTGTGGTACCGGGACACAATCCGGACAAGGCCAAGACCGAGGAGACGCTTTCGGCCCTCTCCGGTGGCAAGGTGTACATCCACAATATCCGACCACTGCGACCAGATGAGCCGGGTGCCAAGGACATAGCAGCTGGGAATCCGGGCATCAAGGAGCGCAGTGTGGTGACGGCTACCGTGATCTATGACAGCTCCTCGGTGGTGGACATATCGGAGATTCAGCAGCGATTGTCCCAGCACAACAACTCCTATGCCATCATGCCGACGGACTCCTCGCCCACAGACGTAAGTGAATCCTGGGTGATCGGGATCGCGATGCTTCATTGCCTTTAATAGACCCTCACTCCCTTGCAGACCCAGTACAAGGCCGAGAACAAGGTGCTCTTCTGGCTGCTCATCCTGCTGGCCACCCTGGTGGCCCTGACCATCCTCATCCTGCTGCTCTGCTGCATCTGCTCTTGGTGTCCACTTTACGGGGCTGCAACGTAAGTAGAAGAACAAAATGTATAAATTAGATGGGTGAACTACATGGTTATAACAAAATTCCTTAAAAAATGTTTGATCTTTGGAAAAATCGGAGTGGCATTCACTTAGTTTATGTTGGTCCAGTGTACATAAATTTACAGATTTTTAAATCAAGCATGTTAATATTATTCCGACCTATCAAAACTTTATGACTGGCCTCTGTTGACTCTATCGCTTAGTCGCAGCGATTAAAGCTAAGATGGAAATTGTGTAATTGTAAATACTACACATTTGGAGTGCATAAAAGCTCGTTACGAATGCACATTTAAAAAGCCTTACAGTTTAATGGTTGCAATAATATTTATTAAAAGCTGACTTTCGAATGCTAAATTGGTCATGGGTGAGCCGAACTGCAAAAGTTAAACCGACATACATTGCCTACCCATATGCAAAGTGGTCAAATATTTACGACGTCCAATAAATTTTTGAAGTTGTAAACACGCAGTTGCATTTTGTAAACTGTAAATGCCGGCTTGAGTTGATTAACTGAGTCAAATGGGACCTAAACTAACCAACGACTATGTATGCACTCAGTCCAAATCCAAACCCGATTGCCTAAGATCAACTGGTGAACAAGTATTTTTAACATTTATGGGATAATTTACATATAATCAACAACACATCACAACCATTCTATCTATGTATAATCTTTTATTTTTCTCTTGTAGCAAAAGAATAGTTAATATCAGTAGAACTGAAGACGATGTGCATCTAGTGCATAGGGAAATGGCAAATGGAAAACAAACAAAATCTGTTCAGGTAGATTTTGAACTTTTTCGAATTCAATTGTAGTCGTAAACGTAATGCAAACGCACTTACCAAATTCCAAATTGCAAAAGCTATCAATTTTAAGTTTTTCATTTTTGATTTCCTTATCGACTACGAAATTTTTCACTTTGCACAAAAAAACAATGGATGGAAGACTATCAAACACGTTTAATCTAACCTAAGAACTCATTTCAAAAAGCAGTTATAATTAAAAAATTTGTTTAGGATCTATGTTCCTTAAAAAAGTTAAGATATATCTACTTAATTTCTAAATTTTTAATACCAGTATATATGTTTCTAATTTCATTATTATGTTCTTGATTTGGTAATACTTTTTCAAAAAATAACTGCTTAGTGAAAAGTTCTCTTGATTCTTTGCTTCATATGCATTTTTAATAACCTTAGAAATACAGTGCTTTTTAGGGTTAGCAAAAATCATTAAAAACTAAAACTGAATCCCTGACCATCTTGCAGGTCGCAGAGTGGATGGGAAGACGCGATGCCTGGTCGGCGGAGAAACCTCCAGATACCCGAACGAAGCCCACCCGCTGGGAGTTCCACGATGGACGTGAGCAGCTTGACGAAGACGTAGGGAGGGCCCAGGACATCGGCGATGGACGTCACATCCAATCCGCCGAGGAGCAGCAGCGAAGAGTTCGCATTAAGTATGGTTATAACCTGTAATTTAAAACCAAACATTAGTTAAACTTTCATTTATAAACTTTCAGAAATAACCGCACAGCCAAAGACGATCTTCATCTTAATTTCCATAACTCTAGGACTAATCTGATCAACGACCGCGACGTATACATGGAGGATGTGATCGAGAACCGGGATCTGGCGGAGGACAGGGAGCACATAACCAGGACGCGGGTGAATCGGCAGGAGTACGCCCGGAGGAAGCAGTACGACTCGGAGGTGCGGCACATAGACGATGATTCCATGCGAAGGCACGAGATTGACCGAGGCAGTGACATCGACTTCAACACAGCCCACAATAGTCTCAAGAGCAAACGCGAGCTATTCATCAAGGACGGCAATGTGGAGATCCTTCAGTTGATGACCCGGGATAAGACCAGGGATGGCTTGAATCTGGACGATGACAATATCTACGTGAATGTCCCAGTGAAACCAGCGGGTAATCTCTCCCATCCACAGCTTCTGATGGTGGACAACTCGGGGAAGGAGATCCTAATGCGCAGATTTATCGAGGAACAACCGGATGGCAAGCAGATCATCAGAGAACATTATCAGATTGTCCCAGGAGCCACATACATCCAGTCCATGCCCAATGAAGTCCAACAGGGATCAACATTGAAAGGTGACACCTTTCCATTGGGAAAATCGGGACCAAATAGCATAGTTTACTCCCAACTGGAACCGGAGGTTAAGGTAATTCACACCCAGCCAGTGGAGGCAGGCGAAGGTGTCTCCATGGAGCAGCAGATGCAGCCGGCGGTATCCAATCAGTCACTCACCCACGAACTGGAGAACTCACTCAAGCAGCAGAATGCCCTGCTGCGGCAGATTCTTCTGGAGAAAGAGAAGCTTGAGAATGCGTACACCCAACACGAGGTGGCTTTGGAAACACAGAGTCTTCCCGGCCAGTCGATGGCCATTGGAACTCAGACGGATTGCGATGCTGGGACTCAGACAGAGGGTCCAGATGCCAACTTGGATCCAGAGATCATACAGGCGAAACCTTCCCGTCGAAGAGCACGCAGCGAAAACGATGAGTCCATGTCGGAGGATGGTTACGAGTACGTTCGCTTCAATCCACCAAATAGTCCCGAGGGCGTCTATTGGATCAAGCGGAGGAGGACGAAGAAACGTCCTAGGCAGCCTCGGAAGAGAATCGTAATGGTGGAAGAGGTTAAGCGCAAGATCCGTACGCCCATCAAGGAGGAGGAGGAAGTTCAGGAAAGGACGAAGCGAGTGCCGCCCAAGAAACCCCTGAGGGAGACCAAAACGAGTATCCTGCGCAAGCAGTTGAGCGACGAAAGCCGCAAGGATCAATCCCGAAACGGGGAGACTCAAACAGCAAGCAATCGCCACAGATCAGATCGCGAGCTGGTCATGGAAATAACCGATTCCATGGATGAACTAGCCAGTCCGGGATCCCACAGCATCCGCAAGATCCAGGTGGAGAAGTACTACAAGCACTCAGATGCTGACTTCGATGAGGACGACACGGAGTACTCTATCGATTCGGACGGGGATGAGATCGTGATCAGAACCAATTACCCCAGTCGACAGCAGGAGAACGAAAGGTACCGCAGGGAAGAGAAGATCTACGTTGAGCCAGAGGAGCTAGCGGGACACAAAAGAGCTCCGAGGAAGCCCTCACCAACGGACTCCCAGCCAGAAGCCATGCCGCGTCTATCCAGACGTGATAGTTCCAAAAGAAACTCCTCGCGAAAGCAAACCTCCTCGGAACCCCCACACAACCGAGTGTCCATCTCCAAGTACGAATCCACAGTCACAGAGAATGGCAGGAAGCTCATGTCCACCTCCACGGAAATAGTTGGATCCAAAAGATCCCTAACCGATCGGAGTTATCAAAGCGAAACAGAGTTGGCGGGTCTCGAGCCCGAGGAAAGAAATGTGCCTAAGTACATGGAGTGGTACTACAACAAGAAGAAGTCCTCCGTCAGTGGACGCACGTCCACGGAGTCATCCAAGTCGCAGCCATCGAGCAAAAAGAAGGTGGGTGCTGCGGAGAAGCGGGTCTCGAAGACCAGGATCACAGTCCCTCCCAAGGACGTCGAGGACGATGAGGATCCTGGTGGGCGTTACAAGCCGGAGCCCGCGCCCAGGAAATCCCCACCGAAGGGCAGTCGAATGCTGAAGGAGGACCGAGCTCTGAACAAGCAGCACAAACCAAAAATCGAGACTGACACGAATCACCCACTGCTCCAGCACTCGGAGCACCGCTTCGAAAGGGAGAACGCCCTGGAGGTGCCGGCCGCACCCACAAAGTTGCCGCACTACATGTATCCCGAGACGCCGCCACATGCAGCTGCCATTAGTAAGGAATCCAGTAAGTCCAGTAAGGAACCGAGGCCCAAGCCCAAGCCATCACCCATTCGGGAGAACGAAGTCAAGGTGTCCAACTCAAAGATCTACGTAGAGCAACGGGGAGCGGGCAATCCCACCCAGAAACAGCTGAATGCCTCGACCCTGGAGGATGATCACGACTCCGGAATAGCCATGAACTCACTGCTCAACAGCCTGGGACGTAGGAATCCCATTGCCGAGAAGAAGAGCGTCTTCTCCATCGCCTACGACGATGTCAGCCGGGTGAAGAAGATCAACTCGGGGGGCGAGTCGCCGCAGTACTCGTAGGACGATCCGATCCATTCCAAACCCTACAAAAGGAACAATCATATGTGATAGCCTCAAAGGCTCCCTACCTGCGAATCATCGAACCAACACTATCTGCAATACTGTATAATATACACCAAAAGCCAGCATATGTTATCCCCCATATTCGTAGTCTACGGGATGTTGAGAAATTTTCAACTCGTTTCCGTGCACCGAAAATACTTGTACGTTAGGATCCGGATCGGTTAGCCGCTTTCATTTTACTCATAAGCCGACAGATGTAGTTCAAAGTTTTATATTTAACGTTATACCTTATAGTGTGGTTCGGTCGAGAGAGATTACTTCTCTAATCTTCGAGGCACTGGCACACGATCTATTCGGTGACCATGCCCCGCCAACGTATTCAACTCTATCCTATATGCATAATATATACTCGACTATGTATGACCAAAATTGTTAAGAATATTTATATGGATAATGTTTAATGGATCTTTGTACATACATACATTTGTAGTTATAACCCACAAGTCATTACCAAGTGCTTTCCTAACAGAAACTTGTGCAAATGTGTATGTACATAAGCTAATGTATATTATGCAGTCGGATAAACAGATGCCTGCCATATTGAAAACACTTGCAAATATAATCTAATAAACCAGAAGCAAGTTTTTGTAAATACTTTAAATATAAGCTTATGCAAATAAATCAAATTAATCCCAAAATAGACGTTTTATTACGGGCAGCTGGTTTACAAGTTGCAAAAATATACAAAATATTTTTGTTTTTCAGAAATAATAATCAGATTTAATAGCAACTAATTAACATTCACAATACATTTTCCGTGTTTATCTGCAAAATAAAATCTAGCGTGAGTTCTGGCCTTACACCAACTAATTTAAATGGTTTGATGAAGTTTTACCGATGGGGAAATGGTTATAATACTATTTATTTTGTATTTTTTAAAATGTTAAAAAGGTCAGAATTGATATGATGTTCTTACAGATGTTTTTAATGATAAATATTCAATTTTTTTCTTCTGTTTGCTATAAAGAAGTCCCCCTTAAAGATTACAAACAAACATCTAGGGTTAGTTTTAATGGGTTTATATTCTTCACGCTCCCTTCAACTTCTCACCCCGACTGTTATATGTTTGTATAAGAGCTCAGAAGTTAAGACGAGAGGAGTGCGTACAGCATTCACGCTTTTCATATTAAGTACTTCTTTGCGAACCCCAGAAAAACAAAGAAAACACAAACTTAAGAACTCTCTCCCTCAACTTAAGAATTCTCTTCTACTGCCTTGAACATTTGAGCGAAGTCACAACCAAAGTTGGTATTGGAGTTATAAGTTAGAAATGCGACACTAAACCAGTTTCAACTTTATAAAGGTCATTAAATGGAATAGGATATAAAGTTAAGTCAGCATGTTTTAAATTTATGAAGTAAGCTTAATAAAATTTTTTTCCAAGGCTATAAACCATTTATGGTTGCAAGGTTATCAACGTTATAAAATATTACGAAATTTTAATAATACATAATTATAAAACAAGGAAGAACGCTATAGTCGAGTACCTCGACTATCAGATACCCGTTACTCAGCTAAATAGGGATATGCAAGTAGCAAAGCGAGATTAAAATGCGCCACCTACCGGCGGTATACAGATTTAAGCGTTATGGGCGTTAGAGTGGGCGTGGCAAATTTTTTTTTGGACCAATCGATAGGTATTGACAAGACCAATACATTTCAGTTAAATTTGTTTATCTAGCATGAAAATTGTGGGCGTCACAGGTTTTCGCGGTTTGTGGGCGGTAAAGTGGGCCTGGAAAACTTTTTTTTGGACCAATCGATAAGTATTGATGAGAACAATACATTTCAGTTAAAATTTTTTATCTAGCATGAAAATTGTGGGCGACACAGGTTTTCGCGGTTTGTGGGCGTTAAAGTGGGCGTGGCAAACTTTTTTTTGGGTCAATCGATAGGTATTGATGAGAACAATACATTTCAGTTAAAATTTTCTATCTAGCATCAAAACTGTATGAGCCACAGTTTTGGGCGGTTTGTGGGCGTTAGAGTGGGCGTGGCACTCTACTGAAACAAACTTGCGCTGCGCAGGAATCTCAGGAATCTGCGTGCCTAATCCCAGTATTGTAACTCTCATAGTTTCCGAGATCTCAGCGTTCATACGGACAGACGGACAGACGGACAGACGGACAGACGGACAGACGGACAGACGGACAGACGGACATGGCTAGATCGACTCGGCTAGTGATCCTGATCAAGAATATATATACTTTATGGGGTCGGAAACGCTTCCTTCTGCCTGTTACATACTTTCCGACGAATCTAGTATACCCTTTTACTCTACGAGTAACGGGTATAAAAATATAGATATAAACATCAAAAAATTGAAAAGAAGACATTTCAAAATATTATTTATCAACAATTTCACGAAGTTTCACCACAGTGCGACGTCGAACTTGTATGGCAGAGAAGACTTCGAGCCGAACTGGGACGCTAAATAAACTCATTCTCTTTCGGTTTAGTTAAACAAATTTTGTCGGCAAAAGCGGTTGACTGTGAGTTGAATGGCTTCCCCGAGGGTGGTGTAGAATTCTCATTATATATTTAATTGCAGACGATACTCGAAGTTGTTTATTTTGATCAGACATCTTTCCAACAAAAAAGAAGAGCAACATGTGCAAGTGCCTAGCCGGAAACGTAGCCTGCTGGTAAGTTGCCTTAAATAGATTAGCATTACAAAAGTCTAGCATCTTGTAAGTTTAAGATAAGAGAGATTTCCGAGTGTAAACAACCATCTATAAGTAAAACACCATTAAGAAGACTGTAGAAATGGCTCAAGAATTATAAATAAATCGGGAACCATGAGTAAGACCGCAAATAAGATAAGAAAGTGTGCAACCACCTGATAGCTAAAGTTCCCTCCTATTTACATACATATTTTAATGACTCCTAAAAGATCTGTATAAAGAAATAGTGCTCCCAGGGGAGCTGTATTTATTTATAATACTGCAAGAGAACAATGCAATTTTAAAGCGGAAGCAGAATTCAGAGAAAACTGGAATCCCCGGTGCAAATTCTCACTTGCGACTCTTATACATACAGGTTTCCATATCACAAATAAAAGCAATGAGAGCAGGTAAACAAACTAACCGCATGAGAATCTATAGGTACTCAGATCCGTTCTACCTGAAAAGTGTTTCCACTTTCGATGGCGAATCATCGCATACATACAGCTGGCAGAATGAATTACTTAATTGTCCATGGAATCATACGCATAGTTGTCGTGAAAAAAATACGTACATGACATGCAACATGGTATCGTATCCACAGAAGACTACTTATTATTATTCCAGCTCACGCTTCCCTAAGCCACATATCTATACATACCCATATACACTTATATGCTTGTTCATATACGCGCACAGTGGCCACAATTGAAAGCCCGCGTATTTGCGTATCTAAAAGATACAAACAGACAATGTGGTCATGTCGAGCATTTCGCAGTGCGTCGCATTAGTTTTTGCCTATATACCATCTGGCTCCAGAAAGTCCTGGCTCCATCGAGGCGCGACGGAATTATTCCTTAAACACATATATCTACCCCCAGGAATCGCCATGACCCCGCCCCATTGGTTTTAGCCAACAACCGGCAGCTCGTCGCCGGTTTCGCATTTCCGTTGGAATGCCAGCTCTTGGCCCTCAAAAAGTGGTAGCTAACTTCCTGATGGGGGTGAAAATGTAATCTACAAATGTTATTTGGGGTGCATTTTTATTAGACAACTTTTCATGCGTAATTAATTCGGAAGTATTGCATCATTTATATGTGCTGCCAGAAGAAGACTTCGTTTTTCAGCTTTTAGGGCTAATGAGAGCCATTATACTGACGATGACCATTTAAGAACTAATTAAAATATAATTGTAGCCTATTTTCCATTTTGATAAATGTGTAAAACACATGAACATTTAAAGTACTAATGATTCATGAATACATATAAACTGATGGTGATCTCATTTGAAAATTCTTTAAAGAATGTGAGGGATGTATGTATAACATATAGACAATGACTTTATCGCGTTTCTGGGAAAATAAACAATTTCTTAAAAGTAGTTTTATTTTATAAAATAACAACTAAAATTTAATAAATGTACTCTTATCTTTTCAGCTGCTTCAACTGCGCGCTTAGTGTGCTTATTTCAGTGATCAGTACATTTTTGGTGGTCATCATTGTGGTCGGATTGGCCGTCTACTTTATTTACTACTACGAGAAGGAGGACGATGTTACTAAGTACACAAACAAAGTAACCGACAACATCCAGTCAGGATTCGATAAAATCAAGGATGCCTTAAGCAAATAAAATCAACTAAGGTATGTGTTCACTAACTCTAGACCATAAACAATGTTTTTTTAACTCAAAAATTTTATAATTTCAGTTAAGTTCGCATTCAAAAATGTTCCAAGCTTTGCATAATTCCATTGATCCAGATTAATTGCCACCAATTTACACAAAGAAACACCGCCGGAGCCTTTTAGAGGAGTATAATTGTTAAACGTTTTTAGTAACAGTACAAATAAATATTACACCCCCTCTAATTATTATTGTGAATCTCCTTTTAATAGAATGTTTCAACACAAAACAATTTTATGATTAAATATTTATGATGCTTAAATTAAAAAAAACAATAAAGAATGAATAAATTGAAAAATGGTTTTACAATTAAAGCAAAAAATGTATACCCTCTAAATTAATTGGGTAAGCATTCAATTTTTAAGGGAGGGGTCTTATGCTTTTCCGAATTTAAAAAATTTTATGAAATAATGGCCTAATACGAGTAACGGATATAAAAATTAAATATTGTCAATATTTATTTTAGCGCACCTCTATAATGACCATCAAAACAGCATTGTCGACCAATATGGGGCATGGGGGTACATTATTTTTTTTTTTACGAAAAGACGGCTGTGATAGCGTTAATTTGTGAAAAAAAAAAATTAAAATATTTTTTGATAAAATCAAAGCTAAAGATAATAGGTGAACCCCCTTTTCAAAGGGTCAATCCCAAATGAAAATATAAACATTTACATTGCCATAAAAATAAAACAGTGTACTTTCTAAAGTGCAGATTCCATGGACCTGCAATCAGAACAATGTCCCTCAGCCCAGCGGGCAATCTCCAATAAAATCGATATATTCAGAACCATTTCGAAGCCATCGACTCGATGAACTTCTACCAGGCTCTCATAAAGTTCAGATGTGCTGCCAATCGTTCGACAACTTCGATTGGATCCAAATCAGCCCCTTCGTCGCTCCGAAATGGAAACCCAACACGATGGCGGAGTGGGAAATCCAACATGGTGGAGCGGTGGAAACTCAACACGCAGGGGAAATGGGAGGTCACCGCAAGGAGTCCCCTTTTTCTGGAAGTCTGGCAACTCCCAAAATCAAACGGTTACATTAAAGTTACAGGGATATAACTAGTGAAGAAAAATATATAATACTTTCCCTGGGAAATGTTCTTTTAAATTAAACAGAAATTTAAACTTAGAGTGTGACCGACTGAATAGAGTCCCAAATTCCGGAATTACAAAATCGCTTTAGGGTCCATAAAATTAGGAAAATATAGAATAATTCAGTATAAACAATCCTTCAAATGAACCGATCTGAAATAGCTCTTAATGACGACTATGAGCACCCAGATAGTCTGGAGTATGTATTGGAATCTGTGTTAATGCCCAGCGATGACAGTTTAGATTTTGAACGTTTGGCGGATGAGTACAATTCTGTTCTTCTAAACCAATGCCAATGCAATGGAGCCTGTGAAAAGAGTGAAATCTGTCCCCATGGAGGTCAATATGAGTACCCAAAGGACGGCATAGAACTAGTTTTAAAAAAGTTCTCAAATCCCGTCATTGAGTGCAATGATTTATGCAAATGCAGTCGAAACTCCTGCTCCAATCGACTTGTGCAGTACGGTCCAAGGAAAAATCTGGAAATATTCGATTCTCCAGTATACGGATCGAAAGGTCTGCGAACTACAATAAACATTCCAGAAGGTGGATACATATGCGAATATGCCGGAGAACTTTTGACTGCATCTGAGGCCAAAAGACGCTTGAAGATTAATGAAGAACTTGGCCTGATGAACTATGTACTGGTTCTGAATGAATACACCAGCGAAACAAAGCAGCAGGTGACCATCGTGGATCCTTCAAGACGTGGGAACATCGGGCGTTACCTAAACCACAGCTGTCAACCAAACTGCCACATAGCAGCGGTACGAATAGACTGTCCCATACCGAAAATAGGTTAGTTTTATTGCTTGCTTTGCTCCAACTTGTGGAGTAATATATCGTTTATCCCTAGGTATTTTTGCTGCTCGGGATATTCTGGCCCAGGAAGAAATGTGCTTTCATTACGGCGGAGAGGGGCAGTATAAAACGTTAGCATATGGAAAGACTTGCCTCTGCGCCGCTCCAAATTGCACGGGATTTATGCCAAACACTGCAATTGAATAAGAAATAAGTTATTCTGATGATTCGATTATAAGTCTGTTTAAATACTTGCCATTCAGAGCTTATTTGGCACTTGGTTTTCCAGCGGAGGCAGCTTTTCCTGAATCCATTTCTCAAGATCTGTAATAGAGGCGGTTTTCAGTTCGTGCAGGGTGTTTCTCAGTGGATGGAATGTGCCCTTTACTCCCAGCTTTTTAAGGGATTCAAAGGTCTCCACGCCCCAGTCTTGTGGCACTAGAGTATCCCGTTCCCCGTGGAACATTCGCAGCTCGGGAAGGGAATCCGTTTGGTTGTTCGCCAGGGATTCGTAGACAACGGAGCCCCGGTTTAGGAACGAGGAGTGTGCGAATACGCCAGCCAAGCTGGGTCTCAAGTGGTAGCCCGTATGCAGGGCCACGGCTCCGCCCATGGAAAACCCGCCCACGATGATCCTGTTCAGTGGGATTCCACTGGACACCTCCTCATCGATGAGCTGATTGACTGCATCATAGCACTGGGACATGCTCTTCCTGCTCTCCGGGGCGGCTATGTTCACGGACTTGCGGTCGAACCAAACATTGGACAGCTCGCCGTCCAACGGGGTGTACTTCTGCTTGGGGGCCGTGGGATAGATGATCTTTATGTGCGGATACTCCAGGTCCCGGCCGAGCAGGAAGCGCACCCACTCCAGTACATTGGGGCCCGTGTCGCCGGATCCATGGAAGAATATCACCGAGGCGGTGTGTTTTCCTGTGGCATTGATCGTCTTCAAGGCCGGCTTCATCTTTAATTCACCTTTGGTTAAGTATTTTTAATATTGCACGATTGGAATTCCAAAGGGCAGCAGTGTGACCAGCTAAGACAAAAACAGGTGTTAAAAATCAGCTGTTGATAAATGACACATTTTAACATTTCATTTTCTTTACTAAATTTAATAAATTCGTGGATATTAATTTCGCATTTCTTTTATATTTGTCTGCATTAGCCTAGGAAATGTTTTTTGATTATATCAATCAGGTTTAAAATTAAGTATTTCATTGTTTAACCTCAACCTTTTCTAACCATCTGGCAACCCTTGAAATCTCGCATGTAAACAGGTGAGCGTTTACCAACACTCGCAAAGAGGAGAAAAAAATCGGAGTGGCAAGTGAAAAATAAATAAATAAAGTTGTGAGTAGCAGTAAATAAATCATAAAAACCGTAAATAAAATATAGCACATCGAGTGCTTTAAATTAGCTTAGGTCTGTTGACCGATTACAAACGTTTTCATTTACCTACGAGCGTTAGTTACCTTCGAGTGAAAACTTCAATGAAACAAAGGGAGAAATTTACGGTGCACTTTCCCAGCTTATATGCGTGGTTATGTACACAGTATCTGTGAGATCTTGAGTTCCCTGGTGATGCAGATGCAGTGTAAATGTTTGCTCCGCATTGCAGTAATCTCTTAAAACAAAGTGGCCTTTTCACAATCACAATCAATGGCCTTCTTCGTGAGTTCCATTTCCATGGCCTCCATCAGCTGTTTGGCACATGGCATTGGAAGTGTGGGTGTGCGTATGTACATAAATGGCATGCATGTACTGTGTACCATTCGTACGTGCGTGAGAGGGGGACAGGGAGAGGATTGTAAGTGAGTAATATTTGTTTATGTGGAAGCAAAGTTCAACGGTACCTGCACTCACACAAGCCCGCTCCCTGCTGATTACGCTATTTGTTTTCACCTACACAATCATACGGAGAATGTGTATAAGGTTTTGCCTCCTCATCATGATTCGGCACTATTTCGCCAAGTTTTTGCCTTTATCATTCATTAACCAACCCGTCCTCACTTTACGCGGTAATTTTTAAACCGCACTTTGATAAACGAAGAGTAGAATCCATTTCCCACACATTGGAGTTTCTGAATTTCAGCTGGGTAATTAATTGATCACGAGATTGGTGTATTCAGGGAAGCCCCTTTTTTTCAAGAGCTACAAACACACATACATATGTATGCATATCTTATTTTTTAGTGATTCAGATACAAGGTTCGTGAAATAACTGCACTGAAAAAATAATATTTTCCGAAACCTGTCTATTTAAAATCTAATAATAGTTGACCCATAATGGATCTTTAAGCATTTTTGTAAGAATTATCTTATAATTTTCGGTTCTGATATTACTAGAATCAATATTACATAAATACATATTATTTCAAAATTATATGTCAACATGTATCCTAAAATTGTTTCTGGTCCGGTACACTTTGAAACAATAATACAGACGGTAAAACTTAAAATTAGTTAAATAGTACATCATTTTATTATGATTTGTATATAAATGATAGTACTAATATTTCTATCATCATGATTATTTAACAAGACAATATCTTCATAAACAGGAAATAAGTGGGAAATTTTTTCAGGTTCAGGGAACATAAATGTGTGCGTAGCGTCATGACTCAATACGTCTAAATTTATTGACATGATTTGATTGCTTGGTAACAATGATTTATCAGATATGAAATACAGTCAGATTTGAGGGTATTAAACTCTTAAACGAAATACTATGAAAACCCGCCAATCATTATTAAACTACTAATAATATAGGCATTATAGACTGCAAAAGGGAACAAAATTTTTACTTAAATATATTCCTTATAATTGATTAACAGAATTATGATATTATGTTGTTAATAGGGCGTTTCACTTTTTTTTGATGGCATCGATTTGTTGATTTTGGGCGGACTTTAAACAGATTTAACTTATCATTTTAACGAAACGAAATTCCTAAATGCCTGGATGACGCGCGTAAAGTTTTCCAAAGTTTTGTATAGCCGTACATCTACCCTGCAAATTAATTAGTTGGGTAAATTAAACATTGGAAATTCGTGATCCCCTAAAAAACCTGCTGGGCAGGTTAGACATTTCTCACCTGAAACTGAAAATCATGACAGACAATTGTGTTTACCAAAGGTACCGATTTGTGAACATCATCGTTACGGACCAAAAATCGTGCGTTCATTCATGGTGTGCATAATTGTGGAGTTTTTTATCGCCCCAACAAGGAGTATTCACCTGTAAGCAAGGGTCCAAAAAGAACCGAGTCACATGTAAGCATGATAGCGCTCTTTGTAACGCTCCCCGCCATCCGAGAGATAAGTCTCTGGGGTCTATGGGGCTTTCGAGTCCAATTCCCGATGGCTAGAGCAGACCACATAGCAGTCAGTTGACGGGCTCTCTCCAAGGCGCACGCATGATCGCCGGAGCGGATTTACGGAGCAAAAGCTGATCGTGCGTTTTCATTTTCACCCAGTCTTTGTTTGCAAGTTACCATTATCGCGGGTGGAGTTTGATTATAATAACTAAGAACCGTATCTCGTGAAGTGCCAAACCAGAAAAAAAGATCTCCTCAAGGATTCTCATTTGCCAAAATGCAAACCCAAATGCATTCCCCCATGCAGTACGAGAGTCACATCTCCGACATGCCCACCCACAAGATGTACTCCTGCCCCCCAGAAGGTTCGTTTTGGATGTTACGATGGGTCTACAGTTCAATTCCCAACGAGTTTGCCAGATAATTTTGTTACCCGGGCTTTTGGGGAAAAAAAACCACTGATCATGACGGTGCACATTGCGAATCAAGTTCTCTGGCGGGTCCCACACTCTAAAACAGCCCACAATGATTGGCGAAAATGTTTGAAACGCTTCTAGATTGTTATACAGTGAAATCACCCAAAGGCGAACGTGAGATGTTAAATATAATGGAGTGAAACAGCATTAAATTTAGTTGCATTCGGGCGTGTGTTTGAATAATTAGAACCAGCCGTGAAAGTCGTTTTGGATATAATCATAGAAGATAAGAGTAAGGGGAAACTGGTTTGTCGTGACAATGCAAATTCCCATTGGATTATAGTACCCGCTCGGAAGAGTGTACTTGAAAAACTAAATGAGTTGTTTTTACAGGTTCTTTATAGGCCTAAAAACCATTTAATTTAATCTTATCGGGATAGTTTTCCTATCGAGAAACAGTAAATCTCTAATACTAAACTTTTCCAAAACTAACAATTTAAAAACAAAATACTCAATTCATTCAAAATGTAAATAATCCCTTTAAGTTCTAGAACGTATTAAAGTATCACACCATTCAGCTATCTTAAATAAGCCTAAAATCGTACGTCATTTCACACTTGGAGGATTTCTTTAAAGTGCCATCTTGGATTTTTTTTTGCAAAATCACAACAGATTAGATAACATAATAGAATATGTAGCTTAAGCTGATTGTCGATCTATTTGCGATGGATGGGGTACAAGGGTTACAGGGCCCGGTTGTAAAGTATGCAAGTTTCGAACTAGTAGCAGAATATATAATATGTCATTAAATTCATATTTAATAACTAAATAATTTTAATAAAATAACGTCTGTAGGGGTAATATTTTCCGGAATACAAATTTTCAAGTTTAATTACTTTTAATAAAGCTAATATAATAACATTAATAAATCCGTTATTATATAAATATTCTCTGTCTTTTTCTTCCAGAGGCTGAGATGAACAACACTTCGGAAAGTTGTTCCATCTCGTCGAATTGTGGCGGTCGGTTTGGATCGGTGCATTCGACCCTAGATGACCACGATGCCACGGACGACGACATGACCTTCTGCATGTCCAACTACGCCAAGGAGGCCCTGAAAATGATGTACATGATGCGGTCTCATGGCATGCTCACGGACGTGGTTCTCGAAGTAAAGAAGGAACTCTTTCCCGCCCACAAGGTGGTGCTGTCCGCCGCATCGCCCTACTTCAAGGCCATGTTCACGGGCGGACTCAAGGAGTCGGAGATGTCGCGCGTCCAACTCCAGGGGGTAAGTTGAGCTCAAGCGCGGCCCTTAATTGGTTGGTTTAATAGATGAACAGTTCGTCCGTTTCGCTTTTTCAGGTCTGTCCCACGGCCATGTCCCGCATCCTGTACTTCATGTACACCGGCCAGATCCGTGTGACTGAGGTGACGGTGTGCCAACTGCTGCCGGCGGCAACCATGTTCCAAGTGCCAAACGTAATCGATGCCTGCTGTGCCTTCCTGGAGCGCCAACTGGACCCCACGAATGCCATTGGCATCGCCCACTTTGCAGAGCAACACGGCTGCGTTGAGCTGCAAAAGAAGGCGAATGTGTTCATTGAGCGGAATTTTACACAGGTTAGTAATCTCTTATGGAAATTTATCCAGAGAATTACAACTTTTGATTTTCCTTTAGGTGTGCCAAGAGGAGGAGTTCCTCCAGCTTTCGGCCTATCAGTTAATAGCCCTGATCCGAAGGGATGAACTTAATGTGCAGGAGGAGCGAGAGGTCTACAATGCTGTCCTTAAGTGGGTGAAATACGACGAGGACAATCGGCACTGTAAAATGGAGCACATCCTGGGCGCCGTGCGTTGCCAGTTCCTAACGCCCAACTTCCTCAAGGAGCAGATGAAAAACTGTGACGTTCTGCGAAAGGTGCCCGCCTGTCGGGAGTATTTAGCCAAGATCTTCAAGGACCTAACGCTGCACAAGTGTCCGGGTGTTAAGGAGAGGACGCCCAACACCACACGAATGATATTCGTGGCCGGCGGCTTCTTCCGGCACTCACTGGACATTCTGGAGGCATACAATGTGGACGACAAGACGTGGACGACACTGCCAAACCTGCGCATTCCAAGATCCGGCCTGGGCGCCGCTTTCCTCAAGGGAAAGTTTTATGCGGTTGGAGGTAGGAATAACAACATTGGATCTTCCTACGATTCGGATTGGGTGGATCGGTACAGTGCCGTTAGCGAAACGTGGCGTCCTTGCGCCCCAATGTCCGTGCCGCGCCATCGAGTGGGCGTGGCCGTCATGGACGAGCTGATGTACGCCGTGGGTGGATCCGCGGGTATGGAGTACCACAACACAGTGGAATAGTGAGTATTAGTTAACTATAAAGAGATCAGTTATATTCAATCAGTTGTTTTGGTTTATACAAATTAAGTTATCGATTTATCCACTACTATAATCCTTTCCAGCTATGACCCAGAACTCGATCGCTGGACCCTCGTACAGCCGATGCATGCCAAGCGTTTGGGTGTGGGGGTGGTGGTGGTCAATCGGCTGCTCTATGCCATCGGAGGATTTGATGGAAACGAGCGATTGGGCAGTGTGGAGTGTTATCATCCGGAAAACAATGAGTGGAGTTTTCTGCCACCACTACAAACGGGTCGCAGTGGAGCCGGTAAGAATGACTAACCATCTTCTTATCTGTTTTCCAACTAAATTCCAAATTAATTACAATCAGGTGTGGCGGCAATTAACCAGTACATCTATGTAGTAGGAGGCTTTGACGGCACCCGGCAACTGGCCACTGTGGAGCGTTATGACACCGAAAACGACACCTGGGACATGGTAGCGCCAATCCAAATCGCACGTAGTGCTCTATCGCTAACTCCGCTGGACCGAAAATTGTACGCAATCGGTGGATTTGATGGCAACAACTTCCTCTCCATCGTTGAAGTCTACGATCCGCAAACGAACACCTGGACGAAGGGAACGCCACTGAAATCGGGAAGATCTGGTCATGCGTCGGCGGTAATTTATCAGCCAGCATGTTCCACCACGTTTATGGACTACGAAGAGAGCGACGCTACACAGCCAGAAAGAGGTAACGACGAGGGAAGGCACGGGAACACACCACAAAATCCGTGCGGCGGTGGCAGTCCGCATTATCCCGGAACCGCGTCCAATATGCAGTTTCACACATCATTCGGGCAGAGCGGATGCAATAATTGTGACGCTGAAATAGATATTAAGCCAGAAATCCCTTCAGAACGACATAGTTTTCAAATCCCCGCCATCAAATCAGAGGAGCTCTCCAATCCAAGCTGCCCCTGGGCCAAAATGCAGGAAAGATTTCGAAGAACTGCACCAAGGCCTTTCTCGCCTCAGAGAGAGGGAAGTCCATTAGATGCGCCAATAGCGCATAAGTTCGACAAAGCGCGAAAAACCTGTATACTTAGCACAGCAGCGAAAGTTTTTCACAATCACATCGAAGGTCGTCTGCGAAAATTAACCTCGGCAAGCACATGACAATACGAATCCGAACCTCACGCTTAGCCACAACCAAAAACATCATTCATTGTACAAATCCTGATCGTATCCCCTAGAATTCCATGTTGAGAAGTAGCATTCCATTGAAGTATATTGCTAGTGTGTTCGCTAGGTGATATTTAGTCAAACAGTTTTTATGGCATCCATAACATAACTGGCGCTCGTCAGCCCATTTTATAAAGATTGATTAGGGTTAATAGTTGATTAGTGGAAGGAAAGTTTCGTATTTTATGTATATTTTAGGCATCCATATAGCTAACTTGCATATTGTACTTTTTTTTAGAATAGGACTATTAAAGGAATTATGTGCATCCATTGTAATTTTTAAGAAAAAAGTAATATAAGAAAAAAATAAAACAAAAACATTTTACAAACTTAAGCATTTAATTGTTTGAAACTTTGGTCAATCGCACGACATGAAAAAACTGTCTTTAAATTACGGTCGTCTTGTGACTTTAAAGTCGGCCGGCCATAATTCAATTCATTTCGTTGAATTTCACTCACCGTGACTATGTTATTTATTCCATTTCAAAGATCATTTTCTGTGTTTTTAACGACTATTATTGTATTTGTTTATAAGCAAAGGTCTTAACAAGTTCAAGATTAGAGACTCCTTTGTTTTCGGGGCCTTGGGGGGTTAAATGAAACATGTGTGTTGTCGGTTATGGAAACAATGTTTAGTCCACCCATTTGCAAACCCTTGATTGCCGACTGGAACAAAATAAAATACAAATTATATTATCTATAAAATCTATTAGTGACTCTATATTTTGAACGTACCATTCTTCCAGGGCCAAGACCACGGACCTTCACTCGCACTGTCTTCCAACCCAATTCAATGGCTTTCTGTAAACAAATTTCGATATTTCGTTAGGTACAAATTTGGATTTTGGTGGTGTACATAAAATAATATATGATTGGCAGAGAATTATGATGACTTGTTTTCTGAGCTCGCAAAGCGTTTAAACAGATAGACAAATATGGCTATAGATGTGTATATCCTAGGATTGCATTGCTGCTAAGAAAGATATTTTTTACTGCGGTAAAAAATGTTGAATAAAATAATAACACTCTTTACAAGGCTATAAAGTAGTTTGGGTAATAATAATAATGTTTTTGGTCTTACAATAACAAGAGTTTTTAAGTTTATTATTGACTATTTGGAATATCTTTCTTCCGGAATTCAACTTACTCCACTAATGGTAACAGCAGTAGCTTGAGCAGCGATGTTGGTTCCCTTGCGAGTGTTTTTGAACCCCTCAATGCCGCAGGATCGTATCAGCCGGAGGACTCCTGAAAGTAGTACGTATTTAGTAAAATATCCAGGTTTTATAAATGGTCTTTCAGAAGGCCAACCTTTGTGATCCGTGACGGAAATAATTGTGTTGTTGGGCGAAACCCGAATGTTACAAATGGGCAGTTCATTGAAGGGTGTTCCATTAAATAACTGGGTGGCGGTGCTGGCATCCGGGAAGAACTTGGCCTTGCTGTGATTAAATAAGTCAAAATATTATTATATGTTCCAAGAAATGATAAAAACTCCCAACCGGTTGATAAGTGTGTCGATGTCCACCGTTTTTTCGCCCACTGTTCCTTCGTCTTTGGCCGGCAAAGATGCCAGCATTTCCTTGCGGTCCTCCGCCTTTCGCCAGCACGCACTCGTGTGTATCCTGGAGGTCTGGAGGGGCACAGCTGGCAAGGTGATACTCCGAAGAGCACTTAAAAACACGGTTTTAAGTGACATTTTTAATTTAATTCGCAGTCGGTGTACAAAAACCAAATTACATCACACCGCCAGTCTGGCAACACTGGCAGTGTTGGCTAACTCGCCACAACAAGTGGCCACGCTTCGTGGTGGCTGGCAACTAGCAAGAAGAAGAGTATTTTCACGTGTTCTTGTTTGAAGTTGGTTTTGATTCCGGTTATCCTCGTGTAAAATGGCTCTGAAAAGGTTGAAGAGTGAGTATTTAATATGCCCTTTATGTTAGTATAGCTCTACATGTTTGTGTTCATCGCGCAGCTAAAAAATCCAAGCGATTGACCGGTCGCCTGAAGCACAAGATCGAAAAGAAGGTGCGCGACCACAACAAAAAGGAACGTCGCGCTGCCAAGAAGAACCCCAAGAAGGGCAGCAAGAAACAGAAGCTCATCCAGATCCCGAACATATGTCCCTTCAAGGAGGACATCCTCAAGGAGGTGGAGGAGGCCAAGCAGCGCCAGGAGGCCGAGCGCTTGGCCCGCCGCGAAGCCTTCAAGGTGGAGCGCGAACAGAGCAAATTCAAGTCGCTGGAGTCGATGGTCGAGGATGCGGACATGCGGAGCACTGTGCACGGCATAATGCACGAGAATGATGCCCAGGATGAGGACGGCAAGAAGTACAAGAACGCCGTCACCAAGGAGCAGTCCCTGAAGCAGTACTTCAAGGAGTTCCGAAAGGTCATTGAGAACGCAGACGTTGTCCTGGAAGTGGTGGATGCACGTGATCCGCTGGGTACCCGCTGCAACGAGGTGGAGCGCGCCGTACGCGGGGCTCCGGGCAACAAGCGACTGGTCCTGGTCCTCAACAAGGCCGATCTGGTGCCGCGCGAGAACCTAAACAACTGGATCAAGTACTTCCGCCGCAGCGGACCCGTCACCGCCTTCAAGGCCTCCACACAGGATCAGGCCAACCGGCTGGGACGCCGCAAGCTGCGCGAGATGAAGACCGAGAAGGCCATGCAGGGATCCGTCTGCATTGGCGCCGAATTGCTTATGTCCATGCTGGGCAACTACTGCCGCAACAAGGGCATCAAGACGTCGATTCGCGTGGGCGTTGTGGGCATCCCCAATGTGGGCAAGAGTTCCATTATCAACTCGCTGACCCGTGGCAGATCCTGCATGGTGGGCAGCACGCCAGGAGTGACCAAGTCAATGCAGGAAGTGGAGCTGGATTCGAAAATAAAACTGATTGATTGCCCCGGCATTGTGTTCACCGGCGGATCTGAACAGTCACATGCTGTTTTGAAGAATGCTCAGCGCGTGGGCGATGTGAAAGATCCCTTCACCATCGCTGAAAGCGTTTTGAAGCGCGCCAGCAAGGATTACTTCTGCACTATGTACGACATTACAAGCTACGACACATTTGAGGAGTTCTTCGCCAAAAAAGCAGCCAGAATGGGTAAAAGCATTAAATTCTACTTTGTATAAAATATATTAATTTGTTTTTTACTCGATCTATAGGTAAATTTCTGAAGAAAGGAGTACCCGATGTTGTGGCAGCTGCACGAAGCGTGCTCAACGATTGGAACACAGGAAAAATCAAATACTGCACACAGCCTCCGGAAGTTCAGGAAGCGCAAAGTGTACACCTTAGTGCCTCAATCGTACACTCCGAGGCCCGCGAATTCGATGTGGAGAACTTGGAGTCCATGGAGACAGAGATTCTAGAGCATTGCGCTGTGAAAACTGATGACATTATGGAAATTGCGTGTACGGGTCCACTCGAGATCAGACAACCGCGTGAAGAAGAAAGTCCTGCCGAATCATTGAATGCAAATGTGGTCATAGACGAGAAGGAAAAGCCAGCGAAGGGTCGCAAACGAAAGCTGGATGAAGAAAAGGAGAAGGTTGATCCCAGTCTACTGTTGGAAGGTAAGCAAAGAAGGATATCCCGCCGTGGAACTGTATTAACGCCTTCTTTTATCTTAATTCCAGAAAACCAATCCCTGAATAAGGGTATTAAACAACTTCAAAAGCAAAAGAAGAAACAAAACGTTCGCAACGAGAAGAAAATATCCAAAATTACAGACGTACTGGATAGCTTTAGCTTAGGGGGATCTTCTTCGAAGGCAGAAAAATACGATTTTGATGAAGATTATGTGATTGAATAAATTCTGCCTTAGTTTTAATCATTTAATAAATCTGTTGATGATACACTGTAATATAGAAACGTGTAATGTCTCCAAAAAAGTTTAAATGCCCCTTTATTACTTCGGATGATTTCAGCCATTTCAAATGAAATAGATTTCGGGTTCTCAATTGTTTTTGTAAATATATTGAAATTTTATTACAATTTTTTAAACTTAACAGTATAACTGCACTGATTAAATATTTGATCATATTGAAGCTATTGTATGTATTTTGCCTGGTCATCAGACTTTTTACAATGCAATTTTACATGCGGAGAAATTTTTAAAATCATCCTAGTAACTTTGCTCATGAGTACGTTTAAAGTTGTTACTACTTTTTATAGTGCTTTTTTGGAATTAAAATGTACATACAATAGGCACGTACCTATTTGCTTTATGAATTTACTGAACACGGTCTTCCTTTAACAGTGAGAAAAATGGTAACAATAGTTTTACGTGGATCGCATTTATTCTTAGAACGAAATACATACAAGGCTGGGATTCTAGGATGGCCTACATACGGTTTGGTTTGGTACAGAGGTTAAAAGACCTAGCGCATGGATTTTAACTAATACACCAAATCCTCGAATTGCCATTTCCTACAGGTGGAAATGCAACCGAAGTTGGGGCTTGTGATTGTGAACAATGAATGGACGAAAGATGATTTCAGATTTAAATAAACATAATTAAAGTTACCTAACTGCTGTAGGTTTTATACATTTTACATTAAAGTTTAAATATAAAAAATGTATGTATGGTTATGACAACGAAAACAGTCAAAATATCAACATAAAACAAATAATGTTCGAACATGACGTATGCTTTCTTAAAGCCAATTGCATCCCTATGCGCTAGAGTCTTAAACCGAGTCGAATTTAGTTAATATTGTTATTTTTTATTAGCCTACGATCTATGCAGTTACTACTGAACAGATTTGTATTTCAGTGATGTTTGGTTTCATTTTGGGTGGGGTATAAATTATGGGCTTGGGTTCTTTTAAAAACGTCGCATAGAAAAAGTAGTGGCTTCTGAATGTTCCATCGTAACTAGACTATCTGCCATTCTCGAAACTGTTAACCCTGATGTGCCTTCCGTTAAGTATGTATATATAAGTTAAATATTTATACATATCATATAGCTACTGGCAATGGAGCTCTAGCCCCACGCGTCGGTACATACTACATGTGTATATATATATATAGAGTGAATCACAGGATTTCAATTTTTGCTAAGTATTTTTAACAATCAATTACTATGTATTTCGCCCCGACTCGCAGCCCCTGCTCGACTCCTCTCCTCTCTCACTTAATGCCACTCAGATGCGTTAAAATTAATTTCGATGTGTCTACTAGCAGTAATTGAAACTTGTTTCGTAATTATGTATATTAACATTTAAAATGATTTCTTATGCAGTCCTTTGTTGTTCCAAATTATTGGTTGTTTAGTGCTTAGCTGGCGGCTCGATCTCCTGCCCGCCAGGCACCTCCATCTCGTCCTCGTCGCCGGATAATCCGTCAGGGCGCACACCTGTCGGCACAGCCTGGTCAGCAGCCTCTGCGCCTTCCGAAGCAGTTGGCGCGATCGCCAGCTGCCCACCTTGTCGCATCCGAATCCGAATCCGCAGTCCAGCGGCTCCGCCAGTTGATCAGATGCCGGATGAGGTCCTGCCGAAAGGGCCTGGAGAAGATACTGTCACCGCAGGTGGCTGAAGTGCACCTCCAGCCAGCAGGGGCAGCCCATGATGTCCTGTCTTTTGTAGGCGGGGCCCCAGCCCTTGGCGAAGCTGATCTTAATGCTGAAGTAGTCGACGGGTCCCATGTGGTGATTTCCCTGCTGTTCCATACTTAGCGATTGAGCCCTACAAAAATAAATAAATAAAGAGGTATTATAAAGTTAGTTTATAATATAATAGTAATGGAAGGAGGTTCTAAAATTGACTCAAAACATGTTTATCAGCAACAGGCTATTACAATAACGTCTTAGTTCTAATAATTTTTCTAAAATGTATTATTATAATAAATTAAATATCATTATAATCTGTATATGATAATAAATCATACAGGTGTTATTTTGAAAAGTGCCCATAAAAGTTTTGATTTAAATCAAAAATCTTTTATAAAAAATTAAAAAAAAAATTTTGTTTACAATGTTTTTTGAACCCGGGACTTACCTAATTGTTTCAAAGGCCTTCAGGCAGTAGCCGGGCATCACTTTGCACACACGATCCATGTTTTCAGCCAGGGTGGGCGAATCCACGAAAACGGGTGTATTTCCACGGTTGTAGATCCAAACATCGCCGTTCTCCAGGCTCAATGTGACCCCTGCAATGTGTACTCCGGTTAACATGTGCCCAAGAAGATAAACAGACTTCCTTCTTACCCAATCCGACCTTCTGCCGCGTGGTTTGCACCTGCTCTGACTGGACCTGTTTGCCTGCGGGAGCAAGGTCACGTAGGCACATGCTGTCCCCCTCACTGCCTACGATCCCATCCGTATAGATATTGACTGCTTTTGTTCTGGCGTTAAAGAACTCCCCGACTCGGTGGGCCATCTCCCAGTAGGCGATTTGGCACCAGACCTTGCTGTTGTGATCTGTAATTTACAAGAAAACGAAGATATTAGGGAATAATTTTAAAGAAATATTATAATATATGCAGAGAATATAGTAATATATAGTAATCGGGGTAAGGTTTTTATTTTAAAACTGACTGTTCTAAGAAAACCATCACTAAATGTTGCTCAATAAAATCATCATAACTTATACATATTTTATCAATCCCCACTTAATGGGATCCCCAGTTCATATCTTTCACACTTTACAGGGCGCTTGGGTAAACGCTTAAAGATTACGATGTCAAGTTAACTTGCTAATTTATTGGCCAGATAGTGGAATCATTAAATTCTTAAATATGCCTGCGATAAAGTTATTCCCATTAATAACTTTTATTTAAATGGCAATCTTGTAACCCGCATACAAATTGTGGGCTGAAGCGGTAATAACTCTTTCGTCGGCCCGTAAAATGTGATTTTAAATTGTCATAACACTCGGGCGATATCGGGGGAGTACTAAGCGCTATATACCATACCATATCGTTTGAGAATACAGAAAGAACGAAGAGACGACGACGAAGACGGCGAAGTGAGCGAGTCGCACATTCAAACAGGCGCATTCACATTACGTTCACACTCACTTGTGTGCTCAGACATTTAAATGGTAATAATTTTGGCGCCAGGGCATTACGTAAACAGACCGGCGTCGGGTATTCGGTATGTGTGTGGTATTCATTCGCGCATATATCGGCCTGTGCGGCCGTATATATGTATCTTCGTATATGTATGTGGTACGCAAACCCACAGAGTCTGTTTATGGGTTCATTTGTATATTCCGATTCCGAACGCGTGTCGGGCCAATAATAAAGTGAGAAACAAGTGCAACTCTTTATTCGAAATCCTTGCTAACGAGATTCTTTGCGGAATGTTTATGTGTGGGGGCTTTAAAAAACAAATTATTTAATATTTACGACCGCATTAAACCAATGCATAAATTTCAAATTTTATATTTAATTAAAAGAATATACCTATGAATATACCAGAATTAGTAAACAAAATGCGATGAATTTAATGTCGTAAAATAAGAGATTGCAAACATTGCGTATACGCCACCGCATCTGTATTTTTATAATCATACGTATATTTGCTAATGCCTACTTAAGATGACACCATTACCATTGCGATTACCATTGTCAGCATAAACACACCCTTGTCTTGGGAATTTATCAATCAACAATGGCATAGAGTGCATTGTCAGACAACACAGTGCAAATATCGCGCATACGCCATGGCGGCCAAATTACCAATTGCAACAATGCCAGCGGGTCGATAGTCGATTGCTGGTGCAGTTGGCCAGAACGAGGCACACACAATCTACACAATCGCTCAGCGTTTCGAGGGGGAAAATCGCAGGGAAAATCGAGGAAAATCGCAGGGAAAACGGCCAACACAATGGACAGCACGCGCTCGCCGAGAATAAATCGGAACGAAAAGGCCGAAAGGCGCTAAAGGCCAAGCCCAGGCGGGCGGCAGTGGCGCCAAGTAAAAATATATATCGCAATAAATCCGTAGACGGCTTTTTAAATTTTGCATGGCAAAGAATGTGCCGAAAGGGGGGCGGGTGTCAGAGGTGCCGAAAGAGGGGTGAGCGGGGTTAGCGGGGGCGTTGGACGCTGCAAGTGGCGCCTGTCCGATGTTTACCTAATTAGGTCGACGCCGGCGATTCCGTCGCGTCTCGCCATGGCCACGAAAAATTGTTTACCCCAACGGGCTGGCGTCGCCACCTCGCTGATTCAAACGAGAACTCGCCAAGATTGTGGGCCCATGAAGTTGATCCCCCAGCGAAAGGTGATTTGGAAAATTGGGGAACCATCAAATGGAAATTGTATATTTACTTGGGAATTTCGACAGGTTTCGCCGTATAATTTACAAGTTATGCGCGATATTTTCATAAGTTTTGGTCTTGCATTTTTATTTGGAGATAGGGAATATGGAAAATATGGTATTAATTTTATCTGTATACTTTTTTAAACTAAATAAAATGAAGAGCATAAATCTTCCTGTTTTCAGAGGTGTTTCTTTTTCGAGAAATAAGACATAGAACGATTGAATGTATTTCTATAAAATGTTAGAAGATAAACTTTAATACATGTTCTACTGTTATAATACAATACCATAGGTATTTTCCTAACGATTTTTAATTCCTTAATCTTTTAAAACTTATATTTATTTAAGGCCGGGAATATTTGGAAATTCTATATAATGCGAAATGCGTTCAACTCTGAAACGTCTGCTTGGAGGGTTCTGCTTGAAAGACCTGCCTACCTACTGCAGTTTTTCCTGTACTACATATTTGTAAATTCGTAGCGCCGCTTCATGGCTGTTGGTTCCCCTTGCTAATATTTATGTAAGTAGGTACATAAATGTACATACATTTGTGTTAGATGCCCGAATCCACGGGCTGCTACATCATCTTTAAATTTAGAATATTTTATCTTCAATCTGTATGCATGTGTGGGTCGAGGCAGTGGCCTGTAAGTTTGTCGGTGGCACACATGTGGTGTCTTCGGGGAAACACGGAGGTTCGACTTTTGTGTGCTCCAATTCAGCGGAGTCCCACCGGCGATGAAGTTGCAGCAATGCAATTAGATGATTAAATCGATTGCTCAAGAAGGTGGAATAAAGGTATCAGGACGAATGACCTAAGCATTGGACAATCCTATCCTAAAAAAATTGTGAGATGGTATCCAATATTTGTTTGGGGTTTTTAGAATATAAAGTCAAATGCAGTAGTATACCAAAACTGTTGAGATCTTGGAACCCCTCCTTAAGATTTTTGAAAATCTACAATTTATTTAGGAGTTATGTACAAATAAAATTAAGAATGAAGGTATAAGTTTAAATTATTTACAAGACTATTTAAAATCATAATCTTTAAATAACAAATCTATAATTATTAACGGAACCCATCGCCAAAACTGCCTAATAAACCATCTAATTATACCGCTTCGAGTTCAAAGAGTATGCAAACAATGTGCATTTGTCAAAACTGCGTTGGGAATCAATCAATTTGGAATTTCAATCTATTTTTAACTGGCCTGTCACCCAATCGTCGTAAAGCCGCAACTTAACGGTCCATTTAAATGTAATAGTTTTCCGTCGTTTTGTCGCCAGTACAATGCCATAAAAAAGCCAAATGGCCGAGATGGTGTGTGTGTCTGAGTTCTGGCCAGTTTCAGTTCCACGGTGCCGTCTCAGTCGCCGGGTAATGGTAATGCCGTGAATGATATCATAGCCCCCGTGGGACCCGTAGAGCCCCTCGTATACCTCGTACCCCCCTTACCCCTTTTAACCCCCTTTTCAAGCACTCTTGTAAGTTAGCACTAAGATTGTGGCGCCATCGAGAGCGCCAACTCACCTCGCTCCTCGCTCTCTCCCTCTCTCCCGCTCTCTTTCGCTCAGTGTTGCCGCCGCCCGTGTTTGTTTTTCGCTCATTATTTATTTTCATTTCGTTTTTGCTGTTTTCGCTTAAAAGTTAATATCAATATAGAAAGTGACGACCTGACGCGGCAAGCTGGCGCCACGATACAACAACAACTTGCCAGAGAGAGAGAGCGCCCGCTCACACACACTAACCCAAAGGGGGGCCCACACACCTACATGGCAAAATAATCGCAACACTTCTCGCTCTCCCACTTTTTTACACTGCAAGAAATCAGTTCTCTAAGAAGGAGGATTTAAATGTTAATATTTTATAATATTCTTCGTAAATTTAAGTTCTAAAATCTGATTCTAAATTATACATTTTCAAATCGTATTCTCTTTACATTGATCTTCCGAATTTGTAGGGCCGTTTTTTATAGTAGCTATATATTTTATCATATAATTTCTCCCTGTGCACTCTCCCAATCACCTGATAAGCCGGGGAGAGCGAAAAGCTTTGGGTGGCAAACTCACCTTTTCCATCAGTGGTGAACGACTCGAGGAGAGGCGTCTTGAAGATGCACGAAATGCTGCTGCTTTGGGCACTCCACGTGCTCAGCGCCGCCGAATTTGCATCGTTCTGCGAGTCTTCTTCGGAATCTGCAAGAATCGGGGGAGGGTCAGTAAGCCCGGATCAAAACTCTATAAGCTCTAAGGCGGAACTAACCTGCATCTCTCAGTCTCTGCATTTTTGAGCGTTGGTATGGCGGCGGTTGGGCTTCTGAAATTATTAAGTAATAGATGGGATTGCATTAGATATCTAGCAGATACATTATTATATACACATTATATTACCACTTTAGGTAATGTTACTTTTCTCTTTGAAATCATTTTGAAAACTTACTAAATCTACAAGAATTTTAAGTTAGGGTAAAAGAAGTTTTAGGAGTTCTAGATAGTACTAGATGGCCCATCAAAGTTTGATTATCTTGTATAAGTTAAAAATAATATGAAATAAATATAACAAGTTTATGAAATAGCTTCACGGCCTTGATTATATAAAAAACCCTTATCTCCCCCTTTTCAGCCGAATGCATTTTTAACCATTTGCAAATGGCAAACGCCATGGATGATTACACACAATTTCGAGTTAATCAAAAGTTCGAGTTATAAATGCGCGTCTTCTAGTCGGGGCGCATATAGGATGAGATCATGGTTCGCAAAACTAATACATACTAGTGTTTGAATATTTGAACAGCAAATCGAAGCGAAACAAAAACAGAGGGATAGACAGAGATAGAGATCGAAATAGAGGGAGAGGAACAGAGCCAAACAAAAACAAAGGCCAGAAAAAACCAAGAAGAAAAGAAAAGGCAGTCGAAACAAACCCAGGCGTAAGCGTAAGCAAGCCAAACATCAGCGCGGCGATATAAAAATAAATAATCTTTGCATATCAGGCAGCCGCACTGGGGGACATTTTATTTTTATTGGCGCAGAAATCGTTTGATGTGCGGCGATCTCCGCTCCGAATCCCCCAATCTCCGAATCCCCCAATCTCCGATCCCCAATCCCCAATCTCCGATTCCGATGGCGCTGTGTTTTTAATCTCGCTTACATTCTACTCGGCTTTCAGTCTCTCATTTCACTCCCAAAAAAGCAAACGGAACAGGTCGTATCTGGTGGCCAAGAGATTGGCCCAAACAAAAGCCTCAATGAATTGCCTGCCAGTTAGGAAGATATTTCTCATTCAATACAATAAATTCAATAATTTATGAAACGTCGCATTAACATTTAATAGGTTGCATTAAGGATTTACTTTGAATTATTATGCAAAAGATAATAAATGTTAATTAAATGAAATATAATGAAACTTTTCCAATGTTTCTTTTTATTTTGGTATTTAGAACTGTTACTATCTAAGTAGTTTAATTATCGTACGACTTAATATATATGGTATAGGAAAAAATTAAGTCAAAGATTAATTTATGGGACTTAAAGGGGCACGGCAAATATGTAAAACAAGGCAGTTATAAACGAAATCGGCTTTGCATCTAAATAGCATTGATTAGCTTCGTCCGACTCAATTGAATGCAAATCAATGCGATTCATTTGAGACCCATTAAGATTCAGCAAACAAAAAAATGGCCATAAAAGAAGTGCACATTAAGGCCGAAAAAAGTGCCATCAGAGTGCAAGAGGTATGGATCTGTAGAGAAGATCTGTGGTAATGCTCTTGGTATTCCGACGGCGCATAAATCGCTTGATGTGCCTCGTCAACGGCGCCCGGCTACTCGACCCGACTCAAATGTACCCAGATCGCGGCGATTCGCCACCGCCGCCGGTCCCCAAGCCCCAATGTACCAGTTAAACCTGATTACGAGCGGCCGCGTCATCGACGCCAACGTTGAAAATCTAACAATTCTTAAATAAAAAATAAAACAAAAGGTAAAAAATAAAACACGAGCGCCGCAGCGAAACCGAAACTGAAACCAAAGGGAGAGCCAACCATATTCCAGCTCGCCGTCAACAATCTGATGGATGGATATGGATCGTATGACCATTCGGCGAAATAGGCAACTGAATATTCACGGTTCTGGGTTTCGGGTTCTGAGTTCTGGGCTCTGGCTTCTGGGTTCTGGCAAAAGAGTGCCAGTCTATTGAGTCAGATTCCAGTAATTGAAATCTAAGCATGGCAATTCCACCAAGTGGCCACTGTTTTGTTTTATCGGCCCTGCTCCAGATTCATATTCCGATTTGGAATATTTTAAATTCATATTTTAAAAGGGAAATTATGGTATTTTTCTTGGGATCTGATTAAAATATTTGATCAAAATTATGAATATTGCATTTAATTCATTACAATAAGTGTACTTATGAGAAAGGATATGATATGATACCAAATGCCTGATTTTGGGTATGCTATATATTATAAGTTTGTTAAAAATAAGGAAATATTTTGTCTTCTTTACTGTGTATTTGTATTTCCACTTATTTCCAAAGCCAATCTAAGATAATGGTTCAAGAAAAAGTAAAACTCAGCGCTATTCCAAGTATACAACGTAATTAGTCAAGTTCCCCCCCCCTGCAAAACCATTGAATTGGCCCAAAACGATTTCGGCCAGCGCAAATATGCCTACATAAGTATGTATCTGTGGCCGATCCAATCCACAGGAACACACAAAAACCCTCAACCGCACAGGCCCCGAGAGCCAGGCTTTATGGGCAAGAACCGCACCTCTCAATGAGATCGGATGGATGGGGCCGAGGCACGCAAAATGATCCTTTTTATGGGTGCTCGCTGCGAGGAAGGGACGTTGGAGCTGGAGTTGGAGTTGGAGTTGTAGTCGCTGGAGCCGCGATGTCCAAAGACCCAGGCACCGATCGCCGGACCACTCGTCGTTACAATTCCTGGAATTGTGTTCCCCGGCCGATGCGGATGGAATAACATTATCGACTTGTTTAATGTGTTCGGCGCCATCATTAAAAAACCAGTCACTGTCGGGACGTCGTCCATCCGCCGGCCAGACGACGATGACACAGCCAGCAGAAGGCCTGTTCCCAGTTGGCAGTTGCCTTTTTCCAGTTGCCTGTTGCACAGGCACAGGTAAAGTGGCACAGGTAAGCGACCAGGTAAGGGAGGCTGTATCTGTATCTGTAGCTGTATCTGCCGACCGGCACGAACAGAGTCTTCATGTTTCCCAAAAGATTGTGTTTTGTGCACAGGAATGTCGGTATAGACATGCCTTTTTGCCATCACATCTACAGTGATTATCGGTTAGGGGAAGACTCTGAAAATGCTGGCGAAAAAAGCGGTGATCTTAATCTTGGTCGCTATTAAGTAAAACATCAGCAAGTAAACGTATGCAATTTCCTAATTAATTTGTTCGCTATCTCGGCGATTGCTTTTACTTTTGAATTACCCTAATTAGGCCTTTATATTACATTTTTTAATGGCTCATAATAAAGTTTTTATTGGTACAAAAACCATTTTCTTGTTATGTTTCAATTAATAGAAATTAACTTTTACATCAATTTATACCACACTAATATAGTGGGTCCTATAAAAAAGTAAGTATATATTACGTGATAAGGATTCCTGTTCATCGGGTCCACATATTAAGTGTTTTAGGAAGAAAGTTGCATAAAGGTTCGGGGAATCGATTCGATAAGGTCTGGGAAAACAAAGCTCTGTTTTTTGGAATTTGATAAGTAAAACTTCTATAGATATTCCTAGAAACCCTCCAATTTTCTTTCTGCACATGGGTTTTGGTTTCAATTTGAGGTTAGACAGGCTGCCCGTATATAAAACCACTGCCGATTGATGAAAACAACCCACACAGATGATGTATTACATGCATGCAGTTTAGTGCTGATATAATAGTCCGATTAGATTAACACTAGAACGGCGATCCATGTGCCCATACAGTTGTAAGCTCGGCCGAGTCCGGGTGATACGCACGTTCTAGATAACGTTCAATGTGCCCAGTGGAACTGTTGGCCGGGGAAGTGGGTTAAAAATAAATCGCACTCATCTATCGCTTTCAACCGTGATGAAACGCTGATTCTGCGATGTAAATGCATGGTGCATCTTTCAATCTGCATTCGGATGTACGAGTATAGTGCCCACACATGCAAATGCTACTATATCTACGTGTATTTTGAACGCCAACAAAGTGTGTGCATGCGCGTGCTAAAAATAAAAACAAACAAATCGGAAGGCGCACATGTATGTAATGTCCATATGTACATGCACATGCTCCGATGTTTGCCCGAATGTACATTGTATATAGTGCGAATGGGATCTCTAAATGATGCGGCAACTAGCTGGTGGCGACGGATATGCCGCGGCCTCAGATACAGTACAGCCCCCATAAGTTGAATATTTAACTGGTAAACAAATTTTATATGGGTCATCCAAATATATGTGTTTTCCAACCTTTGTATTCTTCTGAGCTCACTTTAAAATGATAATATACTTTATATTAGTATTTTTAAACTACCTACAAACTATATATATTTCGCATTGTATAAATATTTTAACCACAATAAATAGTTAAGTTCCCCAAGTATTTTCGAATCTAGGAAGCAGCCAATAAGTAGGCAACGCTTTTATTAATAAGAAGGTTTATACTAAATTTTCCTCTGAAAAAGTGTGTTTAAAGAAGTTCGTCTTAATAAGTTTTAATAAAATAATGTGACGATCATAGCTTTGATATATAAGAAAAGTTATGTATACGATGAAAAGAATTTCAATAATTTGATAATAAATAAAAAACATTTCAGTATTTAATAACGGGTTCTATTGATTTTCAATTTTTTTTAATGGTCTGTATTTTTAATGTTTTGGATTTCGATTTTTTCAATTCTTTTTATGAATATTTGTGTTTTCATGATATTAAAAAATCGATTTTCTGAAAAAATGTACGAGAACTTTAAAAAAACTTTATAAGATTGTGTGCCTTGATCGTTTTGGTCATGGTAGTAGGACTGTAGTTCGAGTACGCGGACGAGTACGGCTAATGGGTAATGGGTATGGGCAATGGGTAACGGACTCCGCCGACTTTGCTTTAGCTTTAGCTCTTTCGTTTGCGTTTGCGTTGGCGACGACGCCTGATTATTTCCTGGCGCCAGTTTCTAAATTTACGCAAATTATTTTGAAAAGAATTTAGTCGCCGTCATGTTGGGCCGACCGTTTGCGTGGCGCTTTCACGCACATTCTCCGCCGCTCTCTCCGCCGCCCCACGTGTGTGTCTGCGGGCCGTGATAAAGCGGAATAAATGAGCCGGAGAGCGGTGGATGCGGTGGGTGTGTGCGTGCGGTATCGGTGTCTGTGTCTGGGCAAAAGTCAAGGCGGCGGCGCACAGTGAGCGCACACAGGGAGAAAAGTTCTTGGGATATTAAGTAAGCACCCACATATCATCCCTAAATTAAGATCTTAACTTTTACATTTTAATATCAATCAGAAATTGCTGAATCCTAACCATCCAGAAAATCGAAGGGACTACTTTATGGTATTTAAAGATTATAAATTTATACTACACTTTTTTTATCTCATAAAAAAATAAAAAAAATTATTTATCAAGTCACATTATTTACAAAATTCCATCGATAGGGGTGGGATATACGTGCTTAAATGTAGAATTCGTCTTCATAACGTAAAAGTGAAAACAAAAGTAAATATATTTGTATTTAACTATAAAATTTAAATCACATATCGTTCTCCATTTTTTCTCTGTGCAGGAACTTGAATTCAGTCTTCTGCGGGAGCAATTTAATGCCCAATACAGATACAGATGCACCTTGTCTCTGGCTCTTTTGGCTTTGCTCCGACTCTCCAGACCAGACCGAAAAAAATCCACTCATAAATACAAATACCCACACCACTGCAGAGTGCAACCCATGCTCGTTTGCGAACAAAATAAAATTGGCGAGCGGCGGCGTTTTCGTATGGATTTCGCATGCCGCATCGCCGCTGCACGAGTGTGTGTGCCTGTCTGTGTGCCCTGGCGCCACCAAATACATGCACACCGCACACCCAGTGCACTGGTGTGCGTCTGTGTGCCTGCACCTACAGTGGCGGGCACAAGTATTGGCACAGCTGGCGCTTAGATTGCTATTAGCTTTCCCAAGCGCCATAAAGATTCGGATAAGGTATGAAATTATTGGGGGGAAGCCCATAGCAAATGAATATCAGTCGATCTACACTTTTCGATACCGGAAAAGGAATTTATCAAATTCAAGTCTTCCCAGAAAACTACCGATATTTATATTTATTCAACATGACTGCAATATCTATGTATCTTTCTGAAGAAACTGTATTTCATTACCCTTGATTCCATAAAAAATGGGAAACAGTAAGTCTTCAGCAAATATGTTTTTTTAACATAAGCCCCCTTTACTTTAAAATAATTTTGAAGTAGGTTTTTAACTTTCAGGTATTTTTAAAAATGTGGTGTGGAAAAAACGAGGATTCCAAGAATCGCTTATAGATAGAATATTATTGATAGAACTTGTATATATGATAGGATATTATTCATTCAAAATATATATTTTTTAGGCATAGCTCTTGCTATATTTGTTCACTAGATGTCGGATTATATGTTTAATTAAATTTTTCACATCAGATATCCTCTTCTATAACAATGGATATATATTTAGTTAATTAATATATTGTATCTATGTTATATTTCACAGAAGTAATATGATTTTTAAAGCTTTATACAGGTGAATAATCCAATTTGAAAGACAATTTTTGAAATTCTTTAAAATATCATCTTTCAAAGTAAAGATCTGTGACCTCCCAGAGTGAAAAACGTAATAGGAATGCTACCTGAGTCGGGCTGGTGCAGGATGCGGAACCAGTGCAGCGGGTTGCAGCATGTGTAGATGGAGTCGAAGGCGGCGGGGCAGACGGGCAGTCGCTTCAGCTCCTCGCCGCTCCTCAATCCCGCCCAGAAGAACAGTCGGCTGGCGGTCACATGCTGCTCCCGATCCGCTTGCGTTGCGGAGGGGATCAGGATGCACTGCAGGTAGGTGGGAGCGGTGGAGGCGCCGGTGACGCCGGCATCGCGTTGCGTCCTGGTCGGCGGATCCACGCGACTCTTGATCGCCAGCAGGAGTTCGGCCATCTGCTTGCGCTTCAGCTGCTTCATCAGTGCATCGAACTCCTCGCGTATCCGTTTCACATTCTGCACTTGATTTTGTGGCTGATGGGCGGTGGTGACTGGAATCGTGGGTGTGGATCCACTGGTCGTGGACTCCGAGGCGCCGCCACAGCAATTCCGAAACATGGTCGCAAAGCTGGTGGCACTCAGCATCCGGCGGTCCACCTGCTGAACCTGAATCGGATTCCGTTCCCTCTCCCGACTCCGCTCCTGATCGCTTCCGTCGATCAACATATCGTCGCAGGAGCTTGCGCAACTGTAGCCAGGAGCGGTACAGCAGCGGTCGGATGCTGACGGAGGCGGTGGCGGTTGCGGTGGCAACGGATCCTTGTGATTTGGCAGGCGGCGGTACGGGTGGCTGTTGTTGTTGTTGTTGTTGTGGTGGTGGTGGCTCAGACTCAGACTGTGGCAATAGGAGCCGGAGTTGGAGCCGGAGCAGTCCATGGCGCAGGACATGGAGCTGTAGGGCGGCGGCGGCGTCTGTTGGCGCATCGCCAAGGAGTCCTCCTCCTCCTCGTCGCAGGAGTAGCCGGAGCAGAGATGAGGGCGGGGTCGATGTGGAGGGGGCGGCGGCCGTGGTGGCTGGACGGCAGGCACTGCTGGCGCCCCATCGCACGGACCCAGACTGTTTCTGAGCGCATAACGCCATAGCTCTTTCTTCTTTTCGCTTGGGAATATCATGGAGGGACATACAGTTTTGCGGTAACATCGATCCTATTGTATGCGCATTATTTGTAGTTGACTAACTTGGTACGCGGACTCGACGGGGCCGGCTAGTCACGGTAGGTTTACTTTCTTTCTCTTCGGTTCGTTTTCAGTTCGGTTTGGTTCAATGGGGTTGGGGGTGTCTGGGTCTGAGTCTGGGAACCGGGGTTTCTTTGGGGTTGTGGGGAAGGTGCGAGGGTCTAGGGAACTTGGGAACTTGATAAATTGTTTTTTACTCCTCGTATCACTCGTTGGCTTTGATATGCTTTCGACGGGCTTGATATGTGTCCTCCAGTGGTGTGCACTCTGCAATAAAAGAGGAGTACGTTGATTAGTCACTGGCCTAATTAGTCTGCCGAGCATCGTTATATGCACTCGAGTTTATGTTAAGCAGGGGTGGAGCTCAGGGGGGGTTGGGGCTAAGTATTTTTACTTTGCAAGCAACTTAATTACATGAATTGAAACAAAGTGCCTGGTCTATTTTATTTCTTATATAGTTTGTTAATATGTATGCATATCTTTATGATAGTAGAAAAACTTATTTATGAGCACAATTACATAAATTGACAACAAATGTCTTGTCTTTTTAAATTTGTTTATAATTTATTAATATGTGTATCTTTATGATAGTAAAAAACTTATTTATAATCAGAAAATGGAATTCCCAAAATGGGTTTGAAGTCATAAAACAATCATTTCTATGCATTATCAAAAAAAAAACTTAAAGCTTGTTACATTAAAGGTAATGTTATATTTTGAATTTACTATTTATCTCACCAAAAATCGAAATGTTTTCATTTTATTTTGGGTAGTTCTGCATACAATTTTAAACTTCCTGCCTATAAAAAGCTTTGCCTACTTTATGGCGCCTGATCTATTGAGTTTCTTTTTCGATCCTTTTACATCAATTGTTCAAGAAGTAATCAATTGTCATACTTCCCAACCGCATAATGAACAAAAAGTAGGTTCTAACCTAAAAAAAAGTACGAAAATTAGAAGTTTAACCCGGTTTTTATTTAAACATGAGTCTCATTCTCCTTAAACAAACAAGTTTTAATGGCCCCCTTTACCGATTTCCAGACTACGCCCTTGGTGGCAGGAAAGGAATCTGCCTGCGGATCGCTTGAGTGAGTAATGCCCCCCGCCTCCACCCCACCCCCCTCGCAGACGGACAGCCGACGCCAGTGCAATATGCAAAAGATCTGTGCGGCAGCATCAGCTGTCGGCGGGAAAGAGATGGCACGACGAGGCGAAAGGGGCAGGGGCGGAGGTGGGGGAGCAGAAAAAAAAAGAGGGAGGAAGGGGGAAACGAACGAGGAGCGCCGCAAATTAACAGCCCAAATACGAGTGTGTGTGTGTGGCCCATGCGAGCATTTCCATTTTGTTGCTGGCATTTCTTGCGCTCCTTATCGACGACAAAAGTGGCGCCGCCGGCATGACGGCAACAACAAGAAAAAAAGCAACAAAATTACGAGTCAGCCCCACAAACACGCTCACCAACACCAGCAACACTAACAACACACACACACACTCGCTCGGCTCTCGCTCACTCACACTCACAGAGAATGCTTGCGTGCAGAGGGGGAACAAAAAAAACAACAAAAAAAAGGCAGGGCGGCGGGCGTGCGAGCGAGAGGGAAGCGCCTGGCGCCACTGACGTAATAAAAGAAATAATAGTAACGATGTCGGCGGCAGAGGCGTCGTCGGAATGGCGCCACACCAACACACGCGCGCCGCAGACAGACACACGGACACGGACGAGCGACGGTCGGTTTGTCAGCCGGTTTGACAAGTTGAAGAATCAACAATTTAAGGTTGAGGTGAGGTGGGTTTGGAGTAATCTACCGTAGCCGTGGTCAGAAGAGAGCGCCCGTGTGTGGTGGAATCCGGGGGCACTCTCGAGAAACTCTTCTGAAAACTCAGCAAGTCGGGAATTTAAGGTTCTACAGAGGTTCTCAAAGTCTTTCTTCGGATTAGAAGTTCTACAATCGAACTGCATTCAATCAGAACCGAAATAAGTTGTAGCTATCGATCAGGAATCACTAGGATATTTGTGCTTTTAGAAAGATTTTGAATTTAATCTTAAATCTTTTACTAAGGAAAATTGCAATGAATAGGAACAGAAATTATTTTAATATTTAGATGTACATTTGGTACAATCCTATAAACAACGATTTCTGAATGATTTCTTTTCCGTTCCAGATAAACTAACATAAAAGGTTAAATCTAACAATTTTCAAAACAAAAATTTATATTTATTGAGAGGAAATATGAAAATTCCATCATAATGCGCATTGCGAGATCATCACTTTGAAAGCTATAAAAATAAATATATATCATATATATTTAACAAGCAATTGAAAGAAAGTCTGTATAAGCAGTCTATACTCAAGACTTTTTATTCAAAACCGCTGAGTGATTGTTTTCCACAAATTCGCATTCACAAATTCAAGCATTATATACAAGAATATGCACTTATGTACTTTCTGATAATGAAAGCATGACTAATTGGAAGTCCAATTGGAAACAATCGCGATTTGGTAACAGATACTCGTACCTTGATTAGGAGATATGTATTAAATAAAAAATAATTTATGAGGGGAACTTGTAAAACTAGCCAAGTTGATAGCCCAGTTCTACGGCACTCTCTATAACAAAAGCATTGAACAAATAAAAGATAAACTTATTTCGCAATTGCTTTTTATTTTCTTTGTATAAAACCGTAGAAACCTACATATTTCGAAATTAAAAAGAAGGAAACGAATGTATCTTAAATCTGAATCCGAACTCTGAAACTCTTTCTAACAGTGTACTTTGCATAATCACGAGTGCACATCCTCGAAAAAGGTTGAGTTTAGCAATTCTTAAACGTGAGAAAAGATACTTACTGTTTTAAGATTGTTTTGCAAGCGGTATCCGTTCTATTCCTTTCTTTTTTTATAACAATAATTATAAATATGATATGTAAGTTGGTATTTGATATGTTATAAAGTTCACTTGATATTTTGTATTTTACATTGACTGCAGAAGAATTGAATTATTAATGTTGCACAACGGAATTGGTTTTGTTTAACACGTGCCGACGGGCTTTTGTTATTGGATTGGTAATCGCAGTCGTCTTTCTCTTTTCTTTTTTACTGGTCAGTCACTTTTCGCTATGCATATGTGTGTATCTTTGTGGGTTTATTTAATAAGGTGCGAGTAATGTGTTGATTTCGGTTGAATATTATGTTGAAGTAGCCGAAAACCATAAGACAATAACAATTTTAACGTGGTGGAAAAGGTGTTTTATTTATTTTTTGCTGGCTTGCGATTTGCGCTCTGCTTTGATTCTGCCGGCGTCGCTGCCACCGCTATATACGTACACGTATGTTTGTTTGTATGCAACAATTGCATTTCTTTACTTTTTTACGATTTCTGCCCAGTTAAAGTTTGAACACACTTTATTATATGCCCTGAATGGTTGCCCCCTTGCTTTTTTATTGATTTTTAATTTGCGCAAACACTAGCAAACACACACGCAATCGAGATCGAAGATCCGTTATCCGGGCGAAGAATTCTCGCTCTTTCTTCGCCCACAAACCCACACATATGCATAGAACTCATAACAGCAAAAAAAAAAAGAAACTAAAAGATTTTTCGCCTGACGATTTCCAATCCACTTCGATTTTCACTTCAATTGATTTGCCTCTGCTGCACTCACACTTTTCCTATTTCCTCCTTCACTTTTTCAGTTCTGAAGCGTACAACAACTCCACTGCACTTGTTTGTTGTTGTTTACGACGCCCGCGTTTACAACAACCACACAAAACTCGTAACCGTTGCGAAAATTAACGAAAAAATACGAAAAAAGGCGTCAAAGTCCGAGTTTTCTGCATTCGAAATGGAACCGAAAATCGTTTAGCAGTCCCGGCACACAAATAACATTATTTCGGAATATTTCTCGTGGCAATACGTCAAGTATCCATCTTTTTGTTGATATCTTTCGGATTTCTCGGACGGCGAACGAGCACACAAGCGGCGCGGTTGAAAATTGTTGGGGCAATGAGCGCAGCGCTCTCGAAAAACTATACGGACGGCCAGTCTTTGGAGCTGTGGGGAATAACTTGGCAACGGGCAGAGAGAGTTTCAGGAGAAAAATTGAGAGAGGGAGAGGCGATTAGAACATTTACTAACCAAAACATAAGAAATAATCCCCATAAAATATTGTTTTAATTTTAATTTTATTATACTTTATTTTGTATAAAATTAAACAGAATAAATCGTTACGATATCTTTAGGATTGTCACATCCCTACTTCGAGCGCAGAACCAAGAAATCCGAACTGAGAGCTCTGAGCAATCCGTTGGATGGCGTGGTGAGTTTCGTGCCTCTCCCGCACACAGACACAACCTGCGCACGCACACCCACACTTTGCTCAATGCTGGCAGTGCCGTTGGAATTAGTGTTGGCAAACGCGGTCATTTTCAAATTTTAAAAAGTTATTTCAACACCTTTGATTTTTAAGAAGTTTTATGTTCTGTAGTAGTTCAAAATCGCTTTTTTTATTTTTGATCTTTTAAAATTATTAGAATGGTAATTGTATTTATGTTGATATAATATAATAGGGCATTTTAAAAGGATTCCCAAAAAATACTCAAGTTAAAAATTCTCGGTAAATATCGGTCGGTTTATATTGCTAAAAAAACGCAACTCTCTATGCAATCGAGAGCGCAGAACCTGAGGAAGCAACATCGACATTTAGCCCGGTCAATGCTGCCGCAAAATGTGATGAATGGTTGTGATCAAGGGCATATCAGTTGCATTGCCTTGCCCATGTCTGCCCAAACATACGAACAAACACACGACCATACAAACTGGCGCCCTGCAGCGTGCCTACACACACCGACACACATTTAAAACGCGCACCGAGGATGGAGTCCCACACTGAGAAAAAATTCGATATGATATGAACAATATGGTAAGACAAAATATGGCTTTATCGTTTTAAAAGAAAAATTTAAAACTGATATGGCTTTTTAAAGAAGACTATATTAAAGAGTAATGTATCTTAAAGAAAGCAAAAAAATTGATTTTTTTTAGATCAAACTACTTCTATTTTGTCAACCTTAAATGATGTAAGATCAGGATAGTTTGACCTATTGATATGGCAAATATAATATTTGATCTTGATCAACAAAAAGTGGCAAATGTCGACCCTAACTTCAGATGCCGAACTTTCTTCCAGTGCCGAGCAGACGCTCCAGCAGGAACCCTGGTTCGTCAGTTCCAGCTGAAATACATAATTGTCTCTCGTTTGGACGACTCGAAAACACAAAAGCAAATAGGCTCCCGTCATTACGATAATAACAGGTCGGGAACAGGGAACACAGGCCACTTGTGGAGTGGAACCGGCAACCGCCGATCTTGGCAGCAGGAATTTGATCGCGTCGTGAGCGTTAAATAAGCGAGAGTCGGGCCCCTGACTTGTGGAGGGGTCTTGGTCTTGGTATTACCTCCGGAAAGGACGGCAGGAGTTTGAATACATTATTTTCTTATGAACCAAAAGACATTCCGCAAATGCTAAACAAATAATACGACAGCAAGGAGCAACGTCCCAGAACGCATCTTACTTAAAGACCCTCAATTATTTAGCGCTTTGGTTTTTTAACTTCTTTCCTAGAAAACCATTAAAAAGAACTAAAATTCAAACCTTTTTAATTGAGGAAGCTTTTAAATTTGACACTACCTTGAGATGTAGTTAATTTACATAGTATTCATTTAGAATTCATTGTGTTTTAAAAAATTCATTCAATTTATGCAGATAGTATATTAAATAACTTATTGGATTTTAATTAGATCATAAATAAAAATCTCGAAAGTTTCAGCGATTTTTGATTTATAATCCCAATCGCTTAAACATTATATCACAGATTTGATGATGGGGTTAATTTTACACGTACCCATCTAAAGAGAGTACCTTTATAAAGCTGACGTCATCTACATATAAACAAATGCACAACATGGATTAGCATAAATATGTGTTTTGTGTGGGAAGGGGTATGGTATATGGTTTCGGTGATATAGTAGATGGTCATCTATGAAATCTTAACTCGCTCGGCTGTTTACGCGTTGGCATGTTGGGAAAGTATCGGGTTTCCGATTCGGCTTTTTTAAAGGCCGAAAAAACCTGTGGAATTCGGTCCATTCAGAATGTTTTCCTAATTTGCTATCTGAAGAATTCTCGGAAGATCGGTGGTTGCTAGCGGAAACTAATCTCGAAAGGGCGGTGGATCTAAAAAAAAAGGTCAAAACCTCAGCTACTTCATATTAAAAATTTCCCACATACTCGTCAGATTAAGTTAATAAGCTGTAATGGTACTTGTTCTCCTGACCTTCTGTTATGTCTGAGTGATTGTTCAGTTGACAGGGGCCCACTTGGGTGGTCACTCATCCTTGAGAACTCCTCACTCGCATTCTTGGCGAATCTGCTGCAATCCACTATCAGCAGCAGACTTCCTCTGAAAACCCCGAAGCTGACGAAATTCCTGGCAGAACTGAAAACCAGTTTAGCATCGTTTCATCATCTTTTTATCCTGTGCAATTCTTTGGGATTTGATTGCCCCTTAACGAGTTCCAGCCTTTTTTATTCATTGATATTCCCAGTGCTGTCTCCTCTACCCTTGGTTTTGAGTTTCATAAGCTAATTTTCGAGAGTTCATTCAAAGAAGATAAATCTGAGTAGCGTGTGTCCCTTGAAGTCGGAAGAATTTGTCTGGCCTTTGAGCTCTTGAAAACCAAATCGACTTACCTGTTCATTTATATCAGAGGTCTTCGTTTTGAGAAAAAGGTGCGACATTCATATAACTATTTACTATAAACAATTTTTTATGTTACTAAAGATGGAAAATTATACATCAGTAAGATGGTTTTGCTGAGTTAGTTTCTTTTTAAATAAACAAAATGTTGTGATAAATATTTTTAAACTTGATAATATTTTCAAATGTTTTCTATTATAACTTTATAACGCCTGGGTTTCCCTATAATATTTTAACACACTTTCTGATTCTTTTAATATTTTGCTATTTTCCAAATTATTTTAAAATTGCCTATATTACTTATGGATAGAAAATCCTTTGGAAGTGTAGTTTTTTAACCAAACTTTATCCTTTAGTAAAGAAGGATATTCTTAGGTTTCGCATTAAAAAAATTAAGTATTTCACATGCACTTATTTAAACATAACTTGAAGACAACTTAATCCGGGGTAACAAGGGCTTACCTCCTGGATAATTGGTCATATTCCGATTTCTTTGTAACTGTTTGTAAATGGTTCCTTTTGAAAGATTGTTTTGGATGGCGCGCGATTACATTCGAGAGACGCGATTGGGGCGGAAGTGTCCTGTGGCGCATTTCTAAGCCAACTAAGCGCCGGTCGTGGCCGGACTCGTCCTTTTATAGGCGAGGACTCGGCTCCGCCGGTTTGGTGCGCACTGGAGACTCCTGCGACTGCGACCACTGCGCAGGGATACGGATATGGAAGCGGACTCGCCGGCGGCGGCGGCGGCACGGAGGATTCATTGGACAAGGCGCCGTCGCCGCCGCCGTCTGAAACTGAATCGAGCTTACGAGTCGGTCGGTCCACCTCCTTGGTCCTACGTCCTTCGCACTTCTGACTCACTGCCAGTCCCCGCCAGCCATTCATGCACCAAACTGGCACTCGTATGCAGATGTATGTCGCTGTGGACATTCGAGTTTATTGTCTTTGCCATCCTTTTTTTGTGGCGGGCAACTGGGATGTTTTGGTTTTTGTTTGTTTTGGTTTTTGGCTACCGGACTCGGCGGCAACTTGAGAAGGAGACGTTTATTGTTACCAACATTTTCATGTCCATCATAACTTCAAGTATAGTACTTATGCTATCTATATGTATATCTATAATTATTCTATTATTGCTAAAAAAAAAACACTCTTAAATAATTTGAATTGTATTTATTTATTATGTGGATTTTAATAATTAAGGATGATCTTGTCTTTATAAAATATGACAAAATAAATTGTTCTGTAATATATTCCCTCTAATAAATCAAAAATTAATTAGTTATCCTTAGCAATCTAGTCAAGTTCATCTTGAATAATACATGTACGCATTATTAACAGTCCCCCCAGCCAGACCAAGAAATCGTATTAAATTGAAAGAAATTGGGGACTGCAAAAAAGCACCACGAAGTAAGTACATAAATTTTTAGTTGGCGTCACTAGGCGTCTGGTCTAGTCGCACTGGTGTCTAAGCTGAAATGAAACCTATCTGCGCGCCATTTCGTTTTTCAAATGTTGGCTGCCGGCGACGGCGACGATGGCGACTGGCGGCCGAAGTTGGCCTAAACCGCACAGCGAGCCCTAGACGCAGACACTCCGATGGGAAAGTCGGCACGACCCCGTCAACCTATTGGCAGCCAGCGGAGAAATCAAGACACCGACCCTCATTAACCGGCAATTAAGTGGTTAAATCGAATGCAACGAGGTCGAACCGCAAGTTCGTTGGTATGTCAAGGCGGATCTTGTAAGTTTAGCTGAAGGAATCTTTCAGATCTTTAAAATATGATCCTAACAGCTAATAGAAATCTTATTGTTCTGACCTTAAGAAACTGAAAACTTTTAACCTCTACAAAAGCTTCAAATATTACTCATACGACCAGTTGCCTTGATTAAATACACCTTTTAAGAATGTTGTATATTATTTAATGTATTTAAGGATACTTTATTAAATTATTAAATTAACTGTCATTTAGTACAAAAAATATAACAATTAATAAATATAAAAAAGCTCTGACAACCTTTCGTATGAGTACTTTTTGTTGATCCCATATCCAACTAAGTAAAGGACTTTATTAAGCTCTTAACATTGATCAACAGGATTTGATAATAGGATCAGTTTTTGGTTATAGTGTAGAAGAGATGATATCCCCTGCCCCCGTAGATTCGAACCAACCGCGGTGTTGTCAACAAAAACAACGACCAGATAGACGCGACAATAACTCGTCATCATCGACGCGCCGGCTATTTTCGCATCTAATTGTGAGAGCAGCGGCGTTTGGCGCGCCAATTGGTGGCAACGGCAATAATAGCGGCGCCCAGTGGCGCACACTTGGCCCGTTCGCAAATCAAAGTTCTGCGTATCCGCATCCGCTGGGTCCTGCTCCTGCCCAGAACTGCGGCACTGTCTGCTCCTGGTCCTGTCGTCCTGCCTGTCGTCGTGCCATTGTCGCTGTCGCCGAAGAAGCAACGACGGGCGACTGGTCGCCGCAATCGTCTGTCTAAGTCTAGCCTCTGGGTGCACTGGGAGAAACTGAGTGAGTTTGGGCAAAAACGTTTTAAAAAAGAAAACAGCTTCAAATATTCATAATAAAAAATCTTGAGTTACTCGCTACCCTGTAACAAAATGTGTTGCCTACTTTGTGGATGTGAGGGAATATATCCTTTTGAACGAATCAAATGTACCTATATTATTATATTTTATTCTGATTATAAAAAAAAAGGGATTTATCTGCTTTGTATGTCTAGAAGTTCCTACCGATATTGATATTAATGAAGAGTATTAAGGTATTTTTCTTCCGAAAACTACTCTTCGTAAACGGTTTCGGAAGAAAAGTACCTTGAAAGAGAGATTTCGAAATTTTGTCTAGGCAAAAATATTTGGACCACAGTAAAAACTAGGTTTGACAATTTAGCTCTTTAAGTTTCAAGGTAATTTTCTTCCGAAAGCTGCTGTTCTTCGTAAAAGCTTCGGAAGAAAATTACCTTAAAACTTTTTTTTTTAGAAGATAATTACCTCGAAACTTTAAGAACTTAGTTGTCAAACCTTTATTGTCTAGAAAAAATTTATAAATAAACCTACAATTTTTTCCAATGACTTTATTATTTAAGATACCATTTAAAAATATTTTTTAAAAGTACCTAAGATAATTTTACTAATTTGAGATATGTTAAGTATTTGATTTCCCCCAAATATTACAATATTCTGTTCGCATTCCCAAAGCGATACCTCCACTTTAGGACCACTTTTTCTCCGAGTGCACCGCATGCTAGCTGCTCCATGTGGGGTGGGTATGGGTGCGTGGACTTCGCCTCGCATCCCTTCGCGCTGGGCGGACGCGGACTGCGACTGCTGCCGACAAGTTGTCGTCTTGGTGACCGTCGCCAGTGGTTGGCGTCGCCGACTCAGAAATTTGCAACAATTCCCGAGCGCGCCGCCGCCACTTGTTACGCACTTTGGCGCCTCCGCACAACAAAATGTCCCTTACGGACAGGCAACTGCCGACTCTTCGACGCTTGATTCTGCGCCAAAAACAAAACACAGACAGACACAAAACACGGTCTCCACTGATGTCGATGCGATGGCCCCCACTCTAAGCATAATTGTTTATAGAAATGAAATTATAATCATAATTGGTACAATAGAAAGGAAAGTAATCATTCCTAATAGGATTGCACAAAATTAGGAAAATCACTTAATTTGAAATGTATAAAATGTTCAGACGTCTTTAAGGTTTCTATTACTTAATCTTAATTTTAAAATAGAATGTTAAACCCCAGTAAAAACTTGCAATGTGGTTTCGGTGTGTTCTGTGAAATGGTATGTTTTATTTATTATACTCCTTGAAATTATTTCAATTTTAAAAGTTTGTTTTTCAATCTGCGAACATATGTAAGTTAAATGTTTGAAGTGTTTGCCTGGTGATAAATACAAATTAAACTACAATAATTATTGTATATGCGTTTACATTCTTAAACAGCTATCGTATTTTGACTGTTCTTTGCTTAAAAAGCATAGTTTCTTGAAGTGTATGCAAAACTCTTGCAATCGAGTCGAATTTCCCTTAGATACAGAACATGAATTTCAATAAAAAATGACTTAAAAACAACATTGAAATGATAGTGTCGATTAAATTAAAAAACGAGATAAAATTAAAATGCTCCACAACGGATTCTTATAACAAATATCTCTCCGTTGTGTTACAGAAGTAAAATGAAAATTGCAGTTTTTCTAATTTCAAATTTTGTGTTTGTGTGTGTTAAACTAATTCTTTCCGACCGTCGGATTTTCGTTAAAGTTTAAAAGTCAAAATGTATCACAATTTTGATCATTTTGTTATAATAAACACGCTTCCGGCTGCACCTTTCACAGTGCTAATTATTTAGTACACATTTATGCTGAATGTCTCGGTTATCTTTAGTGGGTCTTGCACAAATTTGATTCAATGAAACCCAAAATGTATTATAGTAAAAATTGTATATTACCGATATTTACAAATACCAAACAACAAATGGATATTTATAGTTGCACGTTTAAATGAGTATGCATGTGTCGCGCATATATATCGGTGCTTTAAATTTTTAAACGTAGTTATTATATTCCCTTCATAATGCGGGTTATAGTGAAAGCCCAGTTGTTCGATGACAAAAAAAATAAAATTACCAGAATGTTAATTTACATATTACAGGGTGGATTATTTTTTATAAATCTCTACAGAAAATGCCGGAAAAGTACTCCGTATCAATACAAAGTGATATAAGTATGTACAATGAGCAAAACCTACCATTTGATATTTTATTTATAAAACATGCCTCTCTCTACCTTTCTTGTACAGTGCACAAAATTTTGGATAAAAGAACGTTTCTAACAAACTATTATCAAAATTTATTGACGGTTGAGTACTTTCTCAATTTCAGTGTGAGATTTGTATACCCTGTAGCAATAGTTTTTGTGTAGTATGCGTAAAAATAAACACGGTCGTACATATGTAAGTATTGGATACATAATTCTTACCAACATATGCGTAATTGAGTAAAGCAATGTGAACTCGGCTACATAATTTCACAATTATTTGAAACGCCTCAATCGAAGGAAAAGAAAATCTTGCAAAGCAACCTAATCAATTTGATGCCTGGCTTCGGTGATTAATGCTAAGAGGGCATCGAGCTTAAGATCTTTAAACCGTTCGAAGTGGTCCATAAGCGGCTGAATCGCATCTGACTCGATGGCGGCCGAGATGGTCTGGTTCTGAATAGTGCGGTTTAGGCAGGATGCCACCTGTGCCAGAAACTCCCGCCATTTTTGCCTGTTCTCCTCGATGAGAGTTGAGTCACTTCGGGAAACGTATATTTCTTCGGCACGAAGTATCAGGGCAACCAGCGAAAGTATTCCAAACTGAAAATTTAATGGTTATTGGGCCAGTCTATAACTAGGTAATGAGGTTAACATACGCGACTGCAGAAGATTCCAGTCAGTTTCTTGTCGTTCAGCGTAATGCCGGCTGATATGCTCACTAGGATCTCAAAAGTTGCCTTGCTTATGTGCTTCTTGAACTCTGGGTAGAGTGCGTACAAGATTCCTTCAATGTCGTCCTTGTCCTTTTTCACCACTGTTTGCAGGGAACAGAAGACACCGCTCCACACGACCCAGCGAATGCTTTGATCCGCAATGAAGGGCGTTATGCGGCGGAGAAGTATCTGAACGGAAAATAATGATACAGATCAAATTGTTAATATCCAATAATGGGTAGATTTATATTTTCTAAACTCACCTTTCCCTTGCGCACATGCATCATGGACACCACCTTGTCAAATGCCAGACCAGCCTTCAATTTGTTGACCAGCGCAGCGTTCGTCTCTACCTCATAGTTGAACTTGTTCTTCAGATGCGGATTCATGGTCTGTGGATTGGCGGCTTCAGCGGCCCGCTCCTCGGGCGTTTTGTTGGCCATTTCCAACTGCTCAAGGGCTGCGATGCGCTCAGCCTCCTTCTTCTTTTTCAGCTCTATGGTGGCCATCACCTCGGGGCTTTCCAAATCCTCCAGCTTCAGCAGATAACGATACAGCGTCTCGATCAGTAGCAGAATGTGACGCGACTTGCGCATGCTGCTGGGATTAACATCATGGTTCGCTGAGGGAGGCAGCGGAGTCGAGCTCGTTGATGAGGAAGTTGCGTTGGCATCTGCACCGGTAGTCGATTCACCGCTCATAATGTCGGCATCGATGATTTTCCGCGGCGCTGTCACACTGCCGTACTGCAGCTTTCCCAGGGAGTTCTCGAACTTCAGCGGCGAGAATATGTAACCCGTCAGGTTGTTGTTGTTGCCACCTGACCCATTGTTCGTGCTGCCTGTCGTGCTGTTGGCGTTCTCAGAGTTGCGACGCTCGCGGCCGTGTCCATTACGAGTACCATTCTTGTTGCCAAGCTGCACTAGAATGAGCTGCGCATGCCCGCGCGGCTGGGTAAGCGGATGGTTCAGCTGGTTGTCCTTGTGCGCCTGGCTGTTGCGCATCTGCCCGTTCTGCTGGGCCTTGCGCTCCCTGAACACCGTGTAGTAGTAGTCATCGATATACGGCGTGTCCGTGTTCAGTTGGGATAGCTGGATTCCGATTAGCCAGTGTTTGTCACGAGTGCTCATGAGGTTGGCGTACTCATCGTACTCCTCCAATGGATAGTTCCCTGTACCATCTGGTCGTCGTCCCAGTGGCTGCTGCTGCATCTGCGTCTTCTGGCGATCGCTGGCCACGGATCCGGCCCGGCTCTGCTGCATCTGGCGCACCACTGCCGCCTGCTGGAGCAGCGGATGGTTCTGCTGGATCTCCTGCACCAGTCGCATGTTGAACATGTTGTACATGGAGTTCGGTGGCTGCTGACCTAGTAGACTGGTGGCCGCTTGCAGCGGATGCGGCGGCATTCGCGGTGGCTGCATCTGGTGCGGATGTGGTGGCTGCATGAAGGCTGCCGGATGCAGGCCAGCCGCGCGCATCGCATTGAAGCTGGGATGCATGGCAAAGTTGTTCAGGGCCGTGGGCAAAGCGTGCGGATTGGGTAATGGTCGCTGGTTGCCGCCGGGCAGTGGAAAGTTCGGCGGCATGTGCTGCGGCATGAGCGGATGCTGCGGCATTTGCGGTATATTCCCGGGCAGACCAGGCGGGTAAATGAACCCGGGTGGCACTCGGTTGCCTCCCATGCCGTTTAGTTGTTGCTGCGACGGCGGTGTGGGCAATAGCTCGGGCAGTGGATGGGGACCGGGAAAACCCAAATTTGGCCTGGGTGGAGAGGTCTGCGGCGTTCCCATAAAGCCAGGGGGTGCTGCAATGAGGGGTTTAAAAGTGTCAAATCTTGATGTCATAGAAATCCGTTTTACGTGGCTTTTTAACTTCTTATCTTATATTAATGCACTTGGTGAAATTCACTTTCATAATGCTCATTAGATACTTGACTTCCAAATAATGCAATCCATTTTATCAATTCTTTTAACTTAATTCAACTGTTGGGACTTAAAATAATTTAGAACGGCCTTTAAAATTTTAGGTACTTTTCTTGCTTCGTTGTCATTTAATATAAGCTACATCTTTGTTGCAAAATTTTTCAACCGACCAAAGCTTGACTTTTTCTTGTCCTCCATTTCGATTTTTTCTTGGTTCAATATAAAGCTGCTAGGAAATATTATTAGGTAGTATATTTATATTTAAAAAAATACATTCATCGAAGTAAAACCGGCATAAGAATTGCATTACACTGTGATAAATTGATTTTTGCTCACCCTTGTGCTGCGCTTGTTGGGGTGGCTGCTGCTGCGACTGTTGTTTCTGCTGCTGCAGTTGGAGTTGCTGCAGTTGCTGCTGCTGCAACTGCTGTTGCTGCAACATGGTCGGCGTGGCGACCTGCTGCCTGTTACCGAGGCTGAAGTCATCGAACATCTTGCGCTCCGCCTGCTGCTGATTTTGCTGTTGCTGCTGCTGTTGCTGTTTGGGCATGGATTGCTGGATGATCATATTGCGCTCTATGTCCTCGAGGGTCGTGATCTTGGGGAAACCCTGTGGAGGTAGTGGAAAGTTGGCATTCGCCTCCGTTGGAGGTTTCATCTGTTGGAGCTGCGGCGGCAGATGATGCTGTTGTGGTTGTTGCTGCTGCTGCGGCTTGAATGCGCTGCGCATGGGCTCCCGGAACAAATGCTGGTTGTTGGGGAACGGCTGCGAACCCCAGACGCCCGAGTCCAGGTTAATCCGATTGCTCAGGCCACTGGCCTCGCTGTCGGCGGCAAACGTGGAGAGGTCCACGTCGTCCAGCTTCATCGAGGAGAGGTTCAGCTCCAGATCCGAGTCGCCGATGTGCCGCGACTGCCGGAAGGGGGCATTGAACGGGGCCGGAGTGGAGCCGCTGGACGAGGGTGCCGAGGAGAGCGGATTGGGGTGCCGCAGGAAGGCTCCGTTGCCGTGATCGGCGAAATCCGTAATCCCGCTGGATTCTGCTGGCCGCTTGCGCACCCTTTCGCCATTCCCGCCCAGCCGCACCATCGTCTCGTGGGCCTCCTCCCAGTCGCCATTTATCGCCGATCCGAAGGTTTCGTCATTGAGGGCATCGTATTCCGCCTCGGCGATGCGTCCGTCGCCACCTTCATCGTCCTGGTGAAATATTAAAGCCAGGTAAATTAGAAATCCGAACATTTTACTGCCCCCGGTGGCCTTCGATGCCCCCTTCTTTGCCTTTGCCGAGTGAAAAGTTAAAGTGTGCGTCGTTCATCGGCCGCTCCCCCGGTGGCCCCGCTTTCCCCAATTCCCCCGGCGCAATACCAGGATCGCTGCTTACCGGTAGATTTGTGTCAAAGCCGAAAAACGAGTCATCCATGGCGATAAATCTATTGCTTTACAAAAAATTATCATGACTTGTCAGTGACAAGTTGTCACCTCACTAGAGGTGGAGAAACATCGATGTCAGATGTTTTCAAAACATCGGTAACGTCATGAAATCGAAGAGGAAGAGAAATGAACTATCGACGGGTTAATAGGGCCCCTGGTACAGTACATACCTCCTCAAACCGCCTTGTATCTGTTCATTGCGTCAGTGTTGTTGCGACCGACAAAAAAGCATTTGTCAGAGATTCAAAATTAAAAAAAAGTCTCCTGAAATCGATCGATTCAAAACAAAAATAAAGCAGAAAAATAACAAAAAACAGTGTTAGAGGTGGAGAAACATAAACGGAAACATCGTTGCTGCGATGTTTTTAAATTTGTTATCACCTCACAGTGTGACCAGAGCGGCGTGGGTGGTTGGCCGGCCGACTGTCGATAGGTGCTATCGATAGTTACTCCATCCATGCATTCGCGTACCGACGGGATTTCTAATGTAATAAAATATATTAATTATTATTAGCTTTTACAAGTTTTAACTCTGGTTCTGAAAGCAATAATAATACTTTTCTTATTAGGTAAATAATTATGTTTTTCATAAACACCCGTGTTGGGACTAACCCATCTATGCAACCGATATTTTGAACCGGTTCCGAAATTCAAACAATGGAACCAGCTGCCGCCTGCTCATCTCTAATTTACTGGTTCTTGAGTTATCGCTTTGGACGCAACTCCGATGCTGTTTTTCGTTTCCATTTCCAAAATAACATTTTCAACAAGTTAATCAGTCACAGCGGGCAAAATGAAGCGGAAAACGAGCGAGATTTGGTGCTTCTTCCGGGCGGTGGACGACACGTATGCGCTGTGCAACATCTGCAAGGCGAAGCTCTCCTACAAGACGACCACCACGAATCTGAGCAAGCACATGAACAGGATGCATCCCACGGCGGGACTCGGTCGGGCCAGCAACTACAAATACCAGTCCAGTAGTACCCTGGACCGGAACAAGGGCAAGCCGCGCAACCAGACGCAGGAGCTCATAATGGTGGAGTTCGTGAAGAAGCATCCGCGCATGCTGCAGAACCCGACGTGGGAAACGCGCAGCAATATGGAGGACCTGTGGGAGGAGCTGACCGCCAACCTCAATCGGCACGGGCCACCGCGAAAGGATGTGGCTACCTGGAAAAGAGTCAGCCCACCATTAGCTCTTCCTATGTCCACCTATTTAATAGGTTTATTTATTTCCAGGCCTTGAAGGACTGGAAGCGGTTCATCCTGAAGAAGGTGGAGAAGAATGAGCTGCACAACGTTCCCTTCGGCACCAGCCTCGGCCCCTCGGAGGAAACAATAGCCACCTTGTGCCGCCTTAATGAGGATGTTAGTCAAATAATAATGAAGGTATCCGACGACGATGAAATGCACGAGAACTCTGCCACCGAGTTCGATATGGACGATGTGGAGGACGTGGTACCGGAAGAAGATAGTGGCGCCCTTCAGAACTCCGCCGAGTACGTTTACGAGCCGGAGGAGAGCAAAGTAGACATAGACGACCCCCTTTTCCTGCAGTCCAGCAAACGGGCCGCATTGGCCGGCAGTCGCATAGCGGAAGAGGACACGGCGACGCTGCTAGACAAGATTAGCAACAACATTGGGATGGTCCACGATGCCGCCAATGGCGCCCATCTTGCTCTCAATGAATTCTTCGTCCTGTACAAGCAGAAGCTGTACGAGGACAAGCGGCATCACCTGGCCATTGAACAACTAATGGCCGAGAAAATAGAATTGAAAAAGAAACTCTTGGAAATCGAGCAGCGAAAGTTGTCGCTAAAGTGACGCGATTCACATACCATCAAGTAATAAATCGGTAGTCTTAATAGTCTAAGCATTAAATAAACTAAGTATTCCATTAAAATGTTGCCTAATTCTATCGCTTCTCAACTTGCCTGCCCCCACTTGACCACTTAATACACACATTAAATTAGCATCCTTAAGTTTTACTTCTGTGACATCTAGCTGATTTGTAATTGTTCATCATATACTTCCTTTAATATTTCTTTGAATTCCAGGGGATAAGATGCATCGTTCATGACAGCATCGTAAACGTATTCCACATTCTGAGGGGAAACAAAATTTTAAATGAAGAGCTGAAGCAAGATGCAGCCCAAATTACTTACCGATCTCGGTACTTCTAAAACGGCGGATTTACCCTCATCAGCATCACTTAGCCCGTTTAAATCCCCGCAAGCAATGAAAGGAACTAGCCGACGGTTAACATCAGAACCTGTTTTCTGAGCCAGCAGGCGGATATCATCCCTCGCCGGGTTGATAACTTGCGGAATGTAGCCGGCAGGCAGGCAAAAATCGGAGCACACCACAAACGCTTCTATGCTTGAGGGACGCGAACTTGGCGGCTTGTAGATGTCGAACTTCTTAAAGAATATCTGCATTTGGGAGCTCAGGAGCCATGTGGCATTGCCCTTGAAGATCTTGGCCACAAAAGTGCCGCCTGTTTCCAGCACACAGGTGGCAATGCTGAGGGCAGCCACCAGCAATTGGTGCTGCATGTACTCATCCATTTCATGGACACCGGTGACATCGGGCGCTCCATCGCAGACCACCAGCTGAGCCTTCTCATCCCCGCCAAAGTGACCTATGATGGCCTCGGCGGTCGACTGCTTGGTGATGTCTCCCTGCAGCTGGATTATCCCACGGATGGGAGCCATTGCCTGCAGATCCACGGCTATGATCTTCACGGCGGCCTTTTCGTCGTCCGTTTGACAGGGATCGTACAGCTTACGGGAGAGCACCTGGGACCAGCTTCCAGGAGCAGCACACAGATCCACAGCCCGCTGGACACCTGGTTAAAAGGGCGTTCAAATTACTTATTAGGGTGAGAGTTCAAAGCCGTATAGCCCCTACCATTTAAAATTCCGTAGGCCTCGTCCACGTGGAGCAACTTGAAGGCACTCCTGGCCCTCCAGCCCTCCTCCTTGGCCTGTCGATAGTAAATATCACGTTTATCCTTTGATGTTTTTCCCATTTTTAACTATTTTTGCCTGGAAGAAGGTAACTCCCATGCTGGGAGGAAATATTAGGGATGATCTGTGGTGGAACTGGTTCTCGTGTGCTGTGCGAAATTTAAACTTAGAAGAACCTGATTTGGGGTGTTCTGTGAATAGTACTACTATATGGGTACATTTTCGATTTATTTAGACTTATTTTATACAAATAACACCCATTCTCTAAAATATTTTAAAACTCAGAAAATCACAGGATTAAAGCGTGGATTAAAAGGCATTTATAAGGAGGTCTTTAAACTCCTTAACTTTAACCAAAAACATATATATTCAATAAAATCTCTAAAGTACATTATTTTGTTTTTAAAATTTAAAGCATATTGAAGTTGTAATGTATAGCAATTTAAGGATGATATAATTATTAATTTTAATTTAACTTGTAGTAAAAAATATACAGTTCTATAGAGTATTTCTGGAACCACTGAATAAATGTGCTGTAAAATGACACAGAACATGATTGTGGATTTTAGTAACTACGCAGTGCGGTCACATTCTTAGCGCCAGAGCTTTAAAAACACGCATTACTGAGTTTTATCTAAATTTATTGCTTAAAATGCATAGAATACCATTGCCTTTGGTGCCAGACCCTCGTCCCGTGGCCTCTGAATATGTCACAATGTCAAAGGTCATGTGCCCGCGCAACCTGATGTAAGTACAAACGCTATTCGGTCTATAACCCCGCAGGTTTCCCAGTATGGCGAAATTCTGGTAATCCTGCTGCGAGGACCTCTAAGTCTCCAAAGATATCCAATCTAATGCTTGCATTTGATACAATTTCAGAGAATGCGAGCTGTTCTTGAAGGTTTTGCAAAAGGAAACTGATGCAGTGTTTCACGGCTTTTCCGAAAGTGCTCAAAGTTGTCTCAACCTTTCCAAGGAGTGCATGCGTATGAAGAATCCCATTGTGCTAAAGAAGGTATTTGCAACCGATTTCCGATGATTTAGCATGTTTTAACCCATTAATTCAGACTACGCAGAGTTTGGACGAGATCATATGCCGCGCACCCAGCGGCACCACGGCATACGTAGACGCGATTTTGGCCCGAAGTGTGCTCTATATGAAAACTAACCAGCATGCGGTATGTCCTTTTGCACAAACATCATGAAGAAATTGTATTAACAACCCTATTTCATTGTTAGATCGCCTGCAATGACTTGATGTTTTACGAGTCCCTAGATGAAACTCTCAAGACAACAGAGGGAACTCTAGTCTCGCAGATCCTTCTTTGCATAAGCCTCTATATGAACCGGGAATATCAAGCATCGAAAGATAAATTGATTTTGCTCAAAGACCTCATTGGTAATACTAACAATATATTTTTCATTTATTGTAAAATTAAATGATTTTCTATTTTAGAAAAAACGCCGTTGTCTGAAAAAAGTGGTGAGTATAGCGACAAATTTTAATTGCTAATTAATTCCATATTAGCTTTCAAAGATAACCCTAGCAAAAATAATATTTTAACAATGTCTCCTAGAAATTGGACAGTTTCTATGTCTTATAACACAATATGAGGAGAGAATCAGCCAAGCTAGGCGTAATGTTGAGTTTACCGAGAAAGTTGAAAGCAAGGACTTAATGCCCTTTAAGGGTTTTAAGCTTACTCGGAGAATACCATTTGCCAGTCAAGTCTGTGAATACTTGTAAGTACAGAAAGTTAGATTTACTAAACCTTTAATATAACAATGACGTTATTTTGCAGCGAAAAATACAAAGAGAAGCCCGCCGGGGTGTTCGCCTCAGACGATATTCCCAAAGGAGAAATAGTTCTGGTCGAAAATCCTGTGCTCTTCCAGTTCAGTGCTCCATTCCTGAACTGCGATCTGTGTGGATTGCACCGGAAGCAGCTGTATACCTGTGATAACTGTCGTTTTAAGACCTACTGCTCAAAGTTGTGCATGGAATCCGATGCGGAAGTCCATCAATTTGAGTGTTACGGGTATAAAATTGGCCTGATACCTATGCTAGAGGCTTCGATACTGTTTCGATTGTTTCTTCGATCCGGGGAATATATACTTCCGGCTTTAGTTGACTTTGCGATGGAAGGAGGGTATGTTAAGCGCCAATTATTGTGAATTCATAATCACAGTTTAATTATCCCAAAACAGAGTTCTCAATAATCCCCGCGACGCTTGGACGTTTATACAGGAGCATGCCCAGGAAGAGGATAAGGAATACAATCTTATTGGAGAGTTCCTTGCCACAGCGCCGGACTATAAACTGCTTACCAAAGAAAAGTATCAGGAAATTGTAACCACAGCATTCCGTCTCTCGGTTTTCATCTACAACGACCATGACCTCGCAGATAAATACTTTTATCTGCTGGCTCTTGGCAAAACCGACATGATAAATGTAATGTCGGCGATACTTTTACGGCTGGGAGCCCACGTTCTATTAAATTCCCAGCGAGCTGAGCTCTACTATCCGAAACCCGGAGAAGGCATGAATGAAACTCATGAAGAGTTCGCCAAGTGTGGTGCTCTTTCGATATCAACTGACCGTATAAGCGCAAATGCCTTTAGTTTTTATGGTGTAAACGCCATTTCAGATTTTGTAGACTGCTACAATAACATTCATGATAGTGTAGATGAGTTCGAAAGTGAGATCCAAGAAAAGTCTTCTAAGGATAGTCCAATGTTTCAGTTTGCTGATAGACTTCAGTCGATATGCATTCAAAAATATGAAATTGATATTGTTGAAGATATCACAACCGCGAAAACCTTACCCACACACCAAGTAGATGAAATTTTTGATATCTTTAACACATCAAAACGTTGCCAGTTGCTGACAAGTTTTGCCAAATATTTTCACCAATTCATTCATCAGTACTTTAACAAAATTGAAAATGCTTTCCAAGTAAAAACCACGTTTTGTGCCACCTTAAAAGCTTTTAAACAGAATTGTGCGACTGAAAATGTGAAAGTCTTGTGAGTATATTCATTTAATCTGTAGACCTATTCTTTATGATTATGAACTCTTTTTTAGTTCGCTACCGAATGGAAAATTTTTAGGAGTAACTGCAAAAAATGTTGATGCCGGCGAGGAATTTGTTGTATGCCCCGATTTTCTAAGGCATCGCGATCAGAACCTATTATTGGACCTGGCACAATGCAAAGATTTAAATTGTTCGTCCAATATTAATCGTGAAAAATCAAGTGTTAGTAAAATTAGTTTTTTTTAAAATCGTTTAATAGTATTTTCATTAATTCTTATTTTTAGCTCGAGAAGCAGGCTTCACCAGAGTTTTTACGACATAATACGGCATTCATATTCGCAATTAACAACAAAATTTCAGCTTGGAAGCAGTCTAGACAAGGTTTGAATGGAATAATTGAATGTATGATATATGTTTTTTGATGGTCTCCGGTGTTATAATTTCAGATGTAAAACTTCAACTAAATTTGTCCATTTTATACGGCACCTACAATAGTTTTCTTGCTTTGCATTGCGCCGAAAAGGATGAGATACGTTTAATGGGAGTACTTAAATTCTCTATGTTTTTAGCCATGAATGGTTTGTAGTTGTAAATTCATTATGATTCTAGATTGATCTAGTCTCCTTTCTCATTTAATACAGGTTTTTTGCAACATGCCAGTGATAATATATTGAACTTGGTTGAGTTAATTGAATTGGATGACATATACTTTAAAGATGTCCAAATCTACAGCCAAGTCTTTCGTGTAATCAAGCGAATTATGGAACAATACATTGACATCATGTGAGTTTAAAATGCTAAATAGAGCTTAAGTAGTAATTACTAACTATGTTCTGCAGGATTGATTGTCCGGATGTCGGTCCGGAATATCCCAAAATGGTCATTGCCAGCTGTTCATTGATTTTAAAAAGACTGCAGCTTCATACCGAAGCTTTAATTGATAACGAAGAGGCCTCATCTTTGTACACTGAGTACAGCACCTATCACTACAAATGGAAGACAGTACTAAGCTCCTATCTTCAAATGCCGCCAGGTTTAAGGAACTATTTAACAGACTCCAAGAAGTGAGTTAATTTGAGATAACTCTTATCATGGAGTTTTTGTTAACGTCTTATAAGCGTTATGTTTAACACAATCCTGTTAATCCTCACTATAATGAATCCTCAATATAATGAAATATGTTATTTTGTTATTTTAATACCAGTAAATACACATTCCAGTTAACTTATATATATGTTATAGAATGCCAAACATTTGATATTCATTTAAGTTAATCATATGTTAACTTTATAATTCTTACACTAGTTACTCAGCAAAAAAAAATTATCAGTCGGAACTCGTTACTTAACGCACTTCTTAATGATTTAGTTTATCTTTTTTCATTGTTCATGCTTTTCGCAAAAATACAACTACCAATTCTTTTATCTTTTTATATCATCTGCGTTTAATAAGAACTTGACCATTGTACGTTTTTTGCTGACCGTAAACACGTTCCGGTCGAAATTATTTGATTGTGAAATTCGCCCAAGTAAAAGACTTCCGAATATTGGAAATTATGCTCGCAATCTTCTGCACGTTCTTCAATCTTGCCGATCTTACCAAGAATGTCGCGTTGTATTATCACGTCTCCGGAGCTCTCAGATCGTGTGGGCCAGCAGCTGGCGAAGATCTATAAATGGGCGCCCAGCTGCTGGTGCTGCATTGAGTTTTGTGGTGTCGTCGGTGCTATGAGAGTGTTTCTAGTGGTTCTGAGCTTGTTGGCTGTGGCAGTGGCCACCAGGTGTCCGTTTTCGGCGATGGAGCCCCTGTCCCGTTCCAAACGGAATGCTTTTGAGATCCGTCCGGCGGTTAGTGACGGAAGTTTGGATGCCTTGATCAAGGACTTTATGCCCAAGTACAAATCCAACAGTGTACACAACAGTTGGGCCGAGCCTTCTGCTCCTCAAAAGCCTTTAAGGTGTGGGATTCCGCCTCGCAACTGCCTGAATGATACTCGAAATGTGCACTACCGAACTTTGGATGGATCGTGCAATAACCTGTTGTATCCGGAGTTTGGAATTTCTGTATCACCGTATCGCAGGCTTTTGCCTCCCCGCCAAGTGGAGCAGGCTCCGAATGCCCGACTTATCTCCTTGTCCCTGTACGGCGAGCAGACAAGGAAGGATCTGTTCCGCACCATGGCGGCCATGCAATGGGGACAGTTCGTGGCCCACGACATAAGCAAAATGACCACACAGGGAGCTCCCGCGGATTGCTGTGCCGAGCCACGTCATCCCCGCTGTCTGACCATCAGTCTGCCACGTGGCGGACCCATCGCCTATCATACGGGCAAGACCTGCCTGCACTTTGCCCGCAGTGTGTCCGAAGCGGAGGCCATTTGCCCGAAGACTGGATCACCCTATCCCGAAAAGCTGTCGGTGGACACTGCCTACCTGGATCTCTCCACGATCTATGGCAACAACCCATCGCAAAATAGCAAAGTGAGACTGTTCAAGGGTGGTCTTTTGAAGACGAGCTACACGAATGGACAGCACTGGCTGCCGGTAAGCCAAAATGAGAATGGCGAGTGCGGGTCGAAGAGCGAGTGCTATAGTATACCGGACAAGCGTAACCAACTATCGCCCACCATCGCCGTGCTGCAGACTCTGCTGGTGCGGGAGCACAATCGTCTGGCCGAGAATCTGGCGGTGATTAACCCCGACCACAATGACGAGCGCATCTTCCAGGAGGCTCGCAAGATCAACATAGCCCAGTTCCAGAAGATCACCTACTACGACTGGCTGCCGCTGTTCGTGGGTCGCACATATACCTACCTGAATGGTCTCATCTATCCAGTGGAGCCGACTGAGTACGTGAACGACTACGATGAGACAGTCAATCCTGCTGCCTATGCGGAGTTTTCCGCCGCTGCCTTCCGCTACGCCCACACCCAGGTTCCCGGCTGGTTCTCGTAAGTATTCGATTTGATATAGCAGGGTTTCCTTAATTAATATTTAATAAATTTTTTACAGGCTGGTTGCCCCCAATCGCAACTCTAATCAAACGCTGCGCTTGAGTGATTACATCAGTCGAACGGAGACCATCCGCTTACTGGATACCGCCGACAACTTCGATGCTCTATTGAGAGGTTTGGCCACTCAGCTGCACAAGCGTTCGGATGGTAACATCGATCGGGAGATTAAACACTACTTCAACCGCAAGGAGTTCGAGGACTACGGTTCGGATCTGAAGGCTATAGATATTCAGAGGGCACGAGACTTCGGCTTGGCCTCCTACAACGATGTGCGAGAGTTCTGCGGACTGCGAAGAGCTGTGGATTGGGCTGATTTTGCTCACGAGATTCCGGGAGAGGTAGCTTTTAGTGATAGTTATTGTAAATCGAAAGACTGTATTTAATTTTTCTGCAGAAAATATCACTGTTGCGTCGATTGTATGCCACTCCGGATGATGTGGAGCTAGGTGTAGCTGGCACTCTGGAATACCATGTCCCAGATGCTCTTTTCGGACCCACTCTATTGTGTGTGGTGGGAAAACAGTTCCTGAACACACGACGTGGTGATAGATTCTTCTTCGAGCGGGAGAACTCAGGAGGATTTTCACGCGGTAAGTTTATAGTATTTATAGAGACAACAGCATTTTAAAATACATATTCCACAGTTCAACTGGCGGAGATCCGTAAAGTGAGTCTGGCCAGCTTGTTCTGCAGCAACGCCAACTATCTGCATTTAATTCAGCCAAATGTGTTTGTGTTCCCGAACTCACAGTAAGTTCATAAATATTTGTATTACAAAAATATGTCTTTTATATATTATGTCTTTATCCATAGCAATTTACTACTCAACTGCAATTTTATACCCCAAATTGATCTCAGCAAGTGGCAGGATCTCACGCCTCAACGTGTACACTAATGGCATTACTAGTAAATGTATCTAAAACAAATTGGGCTGTCCAATTTGTTCTTTCAGATGCCTACATTTTTATTAATTTGTTTATCATTTTTTGCATTAACTATGTTACACAAACCAATAACAAATAGCATTTTGTTTTTGAATTTGTGATTTTCTGTTTAAAAATATTTATTTATAATATTTACTAGCTCAGATATTTATTTTAACTTTACGGATAATCTTCATGGAAATAAAGAGGATTGTTAAAAAAGTAAACAATGTGTTGTCCTAATACAATTTTTATTTTGTTAGTAAATATCATAGATTCGGTTGAATGGTCATCGTCGAGTGCTGAGAAATATCAAGGCAAATTTACTTTAACTATTCTGTCACGAGTCTTTGTTTAAATAGGTTATTCTTTCTGATCAGTTATACAAATGGCACGCTACACTTATTTGTTCAATGGTCTGTGGCGAATTAATCAAGACAATAAGCTGTAAATAAACATAATTTTGTAAAATATCAATAAAAAAATTAAAAAATATATTTAAAATGTTTTTTAGTTTGAAACAAGCTCTTACTTATACATATAGAAAGAAAGAGGATGTTTATTTTACAATAAAAATAATGCAAAAATGCAAAGAACAGGGTTAAAATACTCTACAAAGTAAAATGTTTGATACAAATTTTTAAACTTATTTTAAAACCTATTTTTTAGTTTTTAAAATGTTTTGACCCAGTTTTTGCATTTTTTTTGTTGCACAGTAATTTTCTGTGTAAAGAATTTTACTATCATTGTTTAATCCCATACAATCAGCCCGTAAATATTTGTGAGCAACCACAAATAAAGTTAAAGAATACTTCCTCCAACTGGGCAAAGAATAGCTTTTCTACGAGTATAAAATTGGAAACTGTTCGTACTGAGATGTAGTAAAATTTTAACCGAGTCACCATGCAGTTCTCCGTTTTTTTGATGACCATCTTGGTTGCCGTGCTAATAGTGCTTAGCCCTCCGACCACTGAGGCCATTGATTTAAGACCGTATATCGACTGCCTTTTGCGGAACTCACTGTGCCAATGGGGTAATCTAGCCACCACTGGAACCACCTAATAAGAAAGTTCTATTGTCGACTTAACGCGTCTCTTGCTAAAACTCACTGAAATGTACATATATAAGAAATATATATATTTTTGGTTGCATTAAAATATAGTATTTGTTTTAAAGAATACGATTTAATCTTGATAATCAGGGTATACTTTGATATCATCACAACGTACTAGAAACCACGTTAATTTTAAATCATCTCGATGGCTTATATCTAAAAAATGATGTCTAAGTATATTTCAGAGTTAAAGTGTTGAAGTACACTTGACCAAAACCTATCCTATCTTTCTTTTTTTATGTATGCATTATCAGACCAAAGCAAAAAATAATTTACAGTTCCTTGTGTCAGAACCATAATAATAATCGCAAATTCAAAGTCATATCTTTGCTAAAAATCGCACTAGCCTCAAAAAACAACGCACGCGAAAGTCGTTTAAAGAGCAACTTACAAGTCTTTCAATTATATTTTATGTGGATTTTTATGGTTTGTATCTCGGCACACGCACATGATTGGCTTCGATTGTAACTAAATCCGTTGATTGCCTGATTGCGACCTTGAAGTAAAACTCGGTCCATATTTATGTGTTTATTATCCCACACGAGGGAAACATTTTGTTGCACACTTTCTGGCAGGCTGGCCAATGAAATTGCGGAACCGGAAACAACTAACGGCGCACTAGTGTTTGTTTAATTCCGTTTGTGTCTCATTTTATGGATGGATTTTATATGTCCGATACTATATGGCCAAAAGTGTTTATGATCCACGGCCAGCGGAGGGATATCAAACACTGTTTTCGTGTTGACAATGTCTGACGTAAACAGGACACTTTCCGAAATTGTTTACGAGTGGAATTGATAGGGCTGTGTAACCGATTAGGAGGCCGCTCGAAAGTCAATCAGAATCACTCAAATGATGCGTATCCAACACGCAAAAATGATGACGACATGTCAGGGGGGCATCATGTACATATAATAAATACTGAGGCGGAAGCCCATGGGACTGCATAAATTTCGACTCGGCATCGCTGAGTTATCGCCATCATTTGCACAATAAATGACAATATTTTGCAGCAGCAATGCCATTTCAAGTTGGGCTCCAATAATCTGCTGCCGCCATGACAACGATTTATCTCTATATGCCAGTGTTTCGATTTGATTTCGGTCGTAAATTGGCCGGGGGTCGAAAAGCATGCGATTTAAGGTTGAAAATATCAGTTTGCCGGAATCTTTAAGAAC